CAAACCATGAGATCTCTGTAAGATTTCCATTGTTCCCTGCTGTTGTTGCCCATTTTAGCATTTTATTCAGGTGTCATTAAAGTGACTTAAGTTTGATAGTTCAATTACATTTGCTTTTGTAATGCATTCATTATTTATCTCCCCTTCCTCTGTTGGCTATCTAACCAGTCTTCAAAGCTCTGTGTCTTTACTGCTGACCCATAGGACACAACATAAGCGAAAGGAAGCTTGAAACCTTGCAGAATAAAGCAACCATGTTCAGAAATTAAAGACTAGGCTCGTCTTAGCAGCAAGAGCTGTCCATAGCAATTTGTCAGTGGAGATTGTCAGGAGGACATCTCTCGTGGAGCAGCAGTAACAGCAGCCCTCTCCGTTACCTGTAGATCAGATCACTTTTGCATTTCTATTTGCCTCTGGCACGGTGACAGATCTGAGCTTAAGCAATCCCAGATCAAACTCCAAGACAACCCAGCTGGAAACAAGTTTGTTGCCACAGAAACAATTTCTGGCAAGAGGGCTCCATGGAGAGGAACAGAGCATACTTTCAGGTGAGCCCCTTTCTGAGTCTCCAACTAACAGTGTTTCAAACCTATTATCTAGTATTTTTCTCTTTTTCAGACAGATTAGCTACAGCTTCCAGATGAAGTACCTTAAAAAGCACTCTTTTTGCCACCCAGTAGATTAACAGAATTCAGGACATCATTTCTAGTGGAGAAAAAGAGTTACAGTGGATGCCCCCCTCAGGGAATAAACTGCAATGTTTTCCCTAGCTGCCATTGCTTACTAATACCTTTAGTTAAAATTACTGGCCAGTTTCTTCTAAACATTAAATCTGGTCTGTGTCTTTTCAAAAACAATTGCCATCAGCTGTCAGGGTCAGCAGTTCTGCAAATGCTTCAGCTGGCAGAATAATTCATAACAAGCATTAAAAGCCACTTAGAATAAGCTTTATAAGAAAAACAAACCTCTTAGATGAGACATTCAGCTAATTTTAAAGGTAATGAGCCACACAAGGCCACTATGTCTGGGGTTCTCTTTCCACAGCTCTTCACTTAAAAATAATTAGCAAGTTGTGTAAATGTCTTTGTGAGTGGACATGACTTTCTTTGGTTATCACCACACTGACACAAGTATGGCCTTCAGGAATGAAGCCCCAGGCACCATGAACGCACCCTCAGGTCAGGTCTAGAAAAACTGGCAGGGAAGACATTTTCTTCTCCATGCACTGTCTAGTGGGATGCCAAGAGCACTTGCAGTTACAGCATCAGCTGTTTAATCTGAGTGACGCCATCCACAAGGCTGGTAAAGGGAGGAAAACCTACATTAATGCCCCCAACCCTTGTCCACCTGGCCCTGTGCAACTGTGCTCAGCCACAGGTAAGAAGTTTCCTGTCTGTCTGACCTCAGCGACCAGACACCCTCTGAGCTCACCCTAACTGATGACATCTAGTATGGTGACAACTGCATACACCTGGTTCTGCTGAGACACATCTTCCTCCCTTCTCTCCTCTTTCCCTGTATCTCACTTCTCTCTTTTCCCACTGGTATAAGATTGCTTACAGTCTCACATTCCAGAACAGGAGGGATGTCAATTTTTGTCCGCCAGCCACAAAGTGAAATAAATACATCTCACTGGAGATGTCAAGTGACACAGGGGTTTTTAATGTGATATTGGAACAACCATATCTTTCTTCATTTAAAACTGTGATATTCAAATCACAACGATGTGATGTAAACATTGTCACCCCCACTGGCTGTGTCCCAGTGTCACAGAACAACATATTTGCCTGATCCTATAAACCCAGCGTTTTCTTACAGTATACTTCCCAGACCTTGGAAAGACTCCTAAAACTTCGGGGTTGTTTTTTCTATGTTATCATCTTACTTACAGCTGTAGAGCACAGAGTGTAAAATAAGCTGGAAATGGTTCTCTTCTGCCTCTTCCCTCATATAACAGAAAGATCTTACAATTGCATGTGTAGGAGCATCCTGATAAGGGGGAACAACAACATAACAGCAATAAGATGGGGAAGCAGGAGGGATAAAGGTGAGGACAGTAAAAAATTTTGTTTCCTCAGAGAAGGAATGGAAGAGTGGGTGTTAAGTACACAGGATTGTCTAACTTTTACTGGCTTCTTGATTAAAGCAAACCTGAAAGAAGAAGTGGTCACGACACTGTGCTCTTCTGGAGCCAGTGTGAACACAGGGTGCTAAGGTGGAAAAAGTCACAGTGGGTGCTGATTAACAGACTGCTCAGAAAGTCCCGTAGTACTCACAATGACACCCTCATGTCTTATGAGTCCTTGCCTCACCGTTAAGTTTCCTTACATTTTTATTAATAAAACTGTTAATAAATATCTGCATGTGTTCTGAACAGAAAAGGACAGGACTTCTTCTACATTCTCTATTTCTGAACTCCCCTCCCCATGCGACACACAAAGCTGACCGGTCAGTGAATTATTTTTCTTGTTTCTTTACAAAGACTGACAAGAATCAGAAAAACGTTCTCATAACACAGGCAACCTACAATAATGAACAAAAGTTTTTGATCCTATTAAAAAAAAAAAAAGATTAATTTCTGACCTGATGGATTTCACTTCACTAAACAAACCTTCACATTTAAAATTTCCCAAGTCAGATTCTGAACAGCAGCAAGAAAAGTGGCTTTGTGTTTGGAAAATATAGTAATGACATACATGTTTACTTTAACAATTTTGTTTCATCAATACAACTTCAACGCTTATCTCTCCTTGTGCCTAAGTGGAACACAAGAAAGTTTTTTTTAGTGAAAACTTTTATTCTAAGTTCCCGCGAGTGGGAACTTTGCCAATGAAATTAATTTTCAAGTTGTAAAGTTTTTTGGACACATTGCTTTGGTTGAGTCCTTGGAGCACCTTGTTTTTTTGCTTTAACAACCCAGCCAAAAAACCATCCTACCACCTCTCCAGGGGTCATAACCTTGTATAACCTGGCCCAATGATGGAAAATGAACTTGCTTTTAAGAATTAATAGTTAAAAGTGAAGCTCACCTGTTAGCAGAGTTCATGCAAAGAGGTTTTGCCTGCAGTGTGAGGGGCACAAAACTTTCCTTCTCCCAGCTCCTGCTCAGGCTGTTGGTGAGGCTGTTCTCCTCCCAGCTGTGAGCAAGGCTGTTGGTGAAACAGCCAGATAAGGAGGAGGAGGAGATTGTGTTTCAGCTCCTGTGCTCTTTATAGTTGAACTGTGAAGGACTCAGCCCAGCCCAGCCCTCTCCTCCCTCACCACTCATTCATAAATGAAAGAGATGAGAGTGCCAAAAGCAGGCACTAAGTACAGAGACTGCAAGGCACACGGAGTGGTGTTCACAGCTGTACCTGCTGCCACAGGCACGGACCAGCAGATAACTGCACGATGATCACAGCTGGTGCAAAGCCCAAATGCTGCTGCTTACAGCTTATCTAAACACACACAGATGTTGCCTCATGCAGGCGTATTAAAAAGTATACAGAGCATTAGTGTTGTTATTAGTATAATTTCCAGTAAGTTGTTTCTAGAGCTTGCTGAGATCAGACCCTCATTATATCCAAACAGAGCAGAAGGTGATCTCTGCACAAGGAAGCATCTTCTCTGACTGTGAAAGAGCAAGGGCCGCAAGGGGCGCGGGGCAGTTCCTTCCTCTCTTGTCTACGCAGACAGACTGAAGCATAAACAGATCAAAGGGCTTGTCCAAGGTCACTCAGGGAGACTGTAGCAGATGAAAAACCTGACCTCCTGTTAACTCACGTCATTATTTTTATTCCCACAGGAGAGAAAGCTGCACCATGGGATATGTATTAAAATCTCTGTCTCTCAAACTGAAAGACACTACTCTTAAAAACACAGATAGTTACAAATTCCACCAATGAAACTGGAAAGAAAAGCTGTTACCAGTTCAGGCCCTAAACTGGTACATAACTCACCCTCTGCAGTGCTCTGCCATGCTGCTGTAGGGACACCAGTGGCACTGCACCCTCAGGAGAGCACTTAGCCAGCGTTCCCTTCTGCTCACTGCAATGGGCAACAGTGCTCCAAGGATGGCCAGGGACAGCGAGCCTGGAAACAGAAACCTTAAGCAGGAAACTCCAAGACATGTTCTCCATTTCCAACCTGGTGGAAAGCAGAGTGACATAAGCACAGAAACAAAATAGAAAAAAATAAAACAAACAAAACCAGGGAGAGGATACAAGAGCATTTACAAAACTTGGAAATATTCCAGCAGTACCCATGGCTAACATCAGAACCAGGATCAAAAATAATTCTACATTCCGAACACAGGCAAAGGGCTCTTCAGGTATGACAGGCTACCAGATGGCAGAGCCCTTCCTCTGCCAGGGCCTCTGGCAGATCCAAAATTTTCCACAGGGTTAAGGAACCCCTCTGAGTTTCTGAGGAGGGATGCACCAGAAAAAATAGGGAATTCTTGAACATGGCCAGAAAAGGCTGCAACAAGCACTGAACAGTCCTTTGCAGGCTCACCATGCTGTTTTGAGGATGTCAGAGAGGCAGACAGCACACCTGGCTGAACAGGCAAGGCACAGGATCCTGGGAGCACAGGCAGAGGCAGAACACCCTGTGCAGTATTAGGGAATATGAATGGTTGGTGTCAAATTTATCAGGACCACAGCTCCCTCCTCTGATTTGTTTTTTGTTGTTGTTTTTTGTTTGTGGTTTTAAATTTTTTATTTTGTACTCATTTAGTGTTTATTATTTATTTTTATATGTATTTTTATATACATACATAAGAATACAGATATTAAGAAAATCAAACAGGCTGTGATCTTTCAGGAAGTGAAGTAAAACATTTGTTCCAGTGCCTTTTAATCTATGGTTATGTACCCTTGGGTATTGCAACTCTTTTATTACAGATTTTATAAAAGACAATATTATAAAAATGAAGTGCAATTACTTCCTTAGCAGTATGGGTGCTACTCTGCAGTAAAAAGCAACAGGGCATTCTGTTGGATCACTTACCTTCCCCAAGAGCCTGCCAGGGGCAGAGATCACTGTGGTGTCCAGTTCTCATCGGTGGCTGCAGGGAAAGCTTTTCACCTGCTGCAGAGTCCAGGCTGCAGATTGGGAACAAACCCTGAGAAGATCCACAGACAGTGATTACCCTTTGGGTGCTGGGGAAAGCAGAGGCACCAGTGGAACTGACATCGTGGGCAGTATCTCTTTCCTAATTTCCACCTTTGTTTCAATTGTCTTGTCATGATGAACATGCTCAAAGATGTGTCAGACAGATGCTGGATACAGGTGGTTGGATAGAGGAATACTGAGAAAGTAGAGCCTTGGTCATCAGACACAATATAGGTCCATCTGGTAAATCAGGCCTTGCAAGTACCATCACGTCAACAAACCTCCCTCTCAGAAAATTACAAAACAAAATAAACTGCAGAAAACCCCTGGTTTTATATCCATTCTATTTTGCTTACCTAAGCATGCAGATGCTGTAAAGCAGGTAACTAAAAGGGATTTGGTGGCGTGGGCCACCTGCCTTCATCACTTCCAAGGGGGCAGAACGATCTGTTGCCACCTCCATCACACACACACACTCAGCAGTTGTATACTGGACCAAATTTAAAACTCTAAAAATGAAAAGAAATAACATTTTTGGTAGCCTTTTATCTCCATGAATTATACAGTAGTTATTAAAACTGACAAATAGCTGTTATTCGGTGCAAGTGGCAATTGTAGCTTTTTGCTCACTTTGGTCAAATCATTTTATTGCTTGTGATGATTAAGTAACTCCATTGAATTGAATTGCTCCTGACTTGCATGTGTCAAAACCAGAAGCAGCAAGCTTCAAAACAAATGGAGTTAAACTGGTGTTATAAATGTCACAGACGCCACACAAATGCAGCAGGAAGGAGATCATTTAGACCATCTCCTTAGTTTACTCATTGAGGAAAGCTAAACTACCTCCTCCAGAGTTTTAGCTTCTCTTAAATAGCCTTTGAGGAAGATTCTGCTTCTCCTCTGGCAATGTCTCCATCCCCTGGCTAGGGCTGTTCTTAAAAAGCTTGCACTAATACAAAAATATTTATCTTCTATGTTTCCAATTCATTCCTCTTTTACATGTCCTTCAGGGAATATACATGAAAACCAGTCTATTGCTACCATTCTCAATATAATTTAAACGTCTGAGGATTAATCATGCTGTCCCTCTTAGTCTTTTGTAGACTAAGCAACCCCACTTTCCAGTGTGCTTTGTAGATCACATTTTCCAGACCTCTGCTCACTCACATTGGTCTCATTTCCAGTCATCAGCATCCCTCTCTAAGTGTATTCCAGTGGAGGCCCTTTCTGGCAGTGCTGGCTTTGTTTGATTCCAATTACTTGATCCATCCTTTGCTTATGAGGGTCAACTTTCCTATGAAGTTTCATTTAAATCCTTTCAAGCACCCATTTTGATGAGGAAAGGATAAATAACTTCTCTCTTTTGCAGTGACAAGCCACACAGACATTCCCATTTTGTGTAGCTGAGAAATAAGGACTTGCTACTGCTCTTCCTGGTCCACCCTAGAGCCCCTGCTGGGCCAGCTCTTACACTGCCTCGAGGGGTGGCCATGCAACACAAAGATTCACTTGCTTCAGAGGTTTCACTGCAGCCAGGCATCTTGCTTTATCGAGCTCTTCTCCTACTATTTTCCCTTGTTTCTGCTGTTGTTCCAGTCTGTATGGCACCACGTGTTATTAACCTTTTCCACAGGTTAGAAGGGCAACAGGTTGTTGCAGAGCACATAAGCAGCCCTCAGATCTGCACTCCAGGTGCTTTGGGAGGCTGCATGGACCAATGTACTAGAATTTATGCCCAGAATGTGCCCCAAGTGGTGAGCTTGGCTTCAAGGGTTGCCAGTGAAAAATGCTATTGCCTAACATACATCTCACAAATAAGCTCAATCACCCAGGCCACCTTTCCACTTCCAGAAGAAATGTCAGGTTATCTGCTCTTGCCACTGTGCTGGCAGCTATCAGGTTAGACACAGTCTCCTCCCTCCCCGTCCCTGAGTTCATGGGATTTCCCTGATTCTCTTCAAAGCCTGCAGGATTCCCACCCCTCCAGACTCGATGCAGCTCAGCTCTGTGTTCCAATAGAAAAGCACCAAGCTTGTATCCCCAAGAAAGAAAGGAGACAAAGTGCTCACTCAGCAGAGCACCATGTGTGTCAGGGCACTGCCAGGAGCATGGGAAAGCCAGCACTGATGAAAGCACCAGCCCTGAAGAGCTGCTGCTGACACCATGACAGTATGTGAGGTGGCCCTCGATTATCCTCCTGAGGTCTCTCACATGTGACACTGGCTATTTGGGAGCTTTCATCCTTCGAATGGTGACTGGAGATGTACCCAATCCTTAGTTATTTTAAAACCTTTAATTTCTGCTCGTAACACATATGACCAGACTTTTATCCCATTCACTGTCATGCCCCACAGAGGAAGAGATGGAGTCAGGACATGAAGGGGACCCCTTTCACAGCCTCCACTCACAGTGAGCTGCACCTTTCAGCTGACTTTGTGAGTTAGTCCCTCAGCTCTCTCTCACACTGGCCAGCACAACTCTGGCTGTGCATCAGCCAGGCACTGCAGGGCTAGAAATGCAATCTGAGGCCAGGTAGTTTAGCTTGGGGTACTGACGCTTTCATAATTCAACCTACCTTATCCCTTTGCAGGGATCCTCCTTGTGAGACCATCCTTCATCAGGTATAAATTCTCTCCTGGCTCAGAGGTTACCAAACTGGCTCTCAACTGGCAGCTACTTTCTGCAAGGTGAAAAAAGACTGGCAACACCTTTGGGAACTCAGGAAAACTGGGCATCTTCTGCCACAAATTAAAGCTCAGCATGTTAATACAGACTGAGATCATCTCAGCTTCTCACAGGAATGTGTGACCAGCAGGAAATTCTCTCTGTCCTTGCCATGCTGGTGTTCTCCAAGCTCCTTCAAAATGAAAATCCAAAAGCACTCAACATTTCCTACTTCTGCCCACCTCAGCAGAGGTAGGAACGTGGAAGGGCAGGGAGGAGTCAGTAATCTAGATAGGGAGAGCAAGCCATCCCCACAGGGTTGTTAGGTGTTTTTTGCTAGATAGCATATGCCTCTCTGGCTTCTTCCTGAGGCAGGGAACATGTTTTATTTACACTGAAAGTATAATTTAACAATTTTTGCACCTAGACTGCCAACATCCAACACAGAGAACTTCATTTCGCACACTAGAAATGGGTAAACTTGGAGCCCTACCAGTACATGTGGATTAGCAGTCATCATCTGCAGAGGATTAAAGCCTTGTAGAGGGGCAGTTGGCTTATCCTAGAGTGCCCTGCAGTACAGCTGCAGGTAGCTGGTTCTTCCCTTTGCCTATAAAGGGAGAAAGGCCTCCCTCTTACAGTAAGAGCAAAGAATGAAGTGATATGAACCTCACACATCCGTCCTGGAGCTCTGCCTGTTTCTGTTCACAATACTGAACAGTACAAATACACAGACACAAAGGAAGTTGAGAATGTAGAAGTTTCTATGCAAAGACTATCAGAATGTATAAAAAGTTTTGTCAAAAATCTAGGAGGCAAGGGCAGTGGAATTATTGTAGTCATCACAGCTACTCCAGAGTCCAAGCTAGAATATCTCTGTTCTTGCTATCTACAGAAAAGACTGAATTAATTTTTTCCCCAACTATTATGCCACTAAAGAGACACTGGCTTTGATGTGTGGCCTTGCAACTACTGGTTGTGTGCAGGACCCATGGATGATTGTGGATGTGTTGGGAGTAACCAGCTGGACCCACTGCAAACGCATGCATGAACTTCCTTTCAGCTATGGAAAAGAAGGTTGGTCAGAGGTAAGTGGAGTTCTTCAGGAAGGATGCCACATGGACTTTAACTCCTGTGCTGCTGCTCTTCCCCCTATTAGCATGGATCTGGGAATTTCAGTTTGAGAACTGTAGTCATAAGGTGGCCCATATACCAGTGCCCCAATGCAGTGAGGATGATGGGCCTAAATGCCCTTGAACCAAAACTTCAAGGATAAAACAGTCCCTGATCTTCAGTAACTGCGGCAGACAGTCAAAGTATGGCTGTACATAGTTCTTCAGATAATGGTGTTAGCCATAAAACATTGCTGCAAAGACATTGTGCTAAAAACAATAGACAGGGGTCACTGAGTTCACTTTTTGCTTTCCTTCTCACTTTCAGTTTTATATTCCTTTCTAAGCATACTCTCCTTTTCCAGATTAACAGTGTTAAACAGATATAACCTGTTAGAGTTTAACACGTGAAGGTAACATTTCTTCTGATTTTAGTTACAAAACTTCATGTGGATGAAATTTGATACAATAAAGTCTTATTGGTATCTGTTTTCATTCATTTGCCTGATTACATAAGAAGAGAACAACCACTTGCTCATATAGGATAGGTTGGGAGGCTGAGGGGAAGTCAGAATCTGCCAAATGGGACTCTGTTGCCATTGATATGGTTGGTTAAATAAACAAGGAAAAGAATCTTTGTTCATGGGAGCTAAATGTGGGTAGTGGAACTGGGCTTCAGGAATTCCAAGCTTTTTTTCAATTAAAGAAGCCAAAATAAGCAAGGAAGGAAATTCTAAAACAATGAAAACGATGTGAAAATTCCTACTGTTACAAATACTGAAGACTAAATAGAAAGAATATTGCCCCACTATGCAAAAAAGTGATATGGACCTTCTTAAATGCATCTATCATCCTGTTAGTATTTTTAAGTGCTAGCTAATTTTCACAAAGCTTTAACCATCAAAGCTATCTGCTGATCCTAAAATGTGTAACAAACAAGCTTAGAAATTATTATAAGACCTTGCATTAAAACTCTGCACAGATTGTAGAATTCTGTATTTATTGTAATGAAGAAATGTTTGAAGGACATCTCAATAAGATTCTGAGATCTGAAAAAAAGACTGGCTCTAGATTTCATGCAGACGTGCACCTTCTACTTCAGAAACACCTGCAGTGGTTTGCAGCATGTGGTATATCTGCTACCTCAAGGTTTAGTTGTCATTTGTCACAAACACAAAGAGCAAAATGGAGCAGTACGAATGAGCAAAAGGAGGATGTGGGGAAGAGGCACAATGAGAAGACAGTGGCTGCAAGGTCACTATGGAGGGATGAGAGCGAAGAAAGGCCCCTTGGACTGATTGCACTGTGTATCTGGGCAAAATGTTTGAGCAGACTGAAGAAGGATAAAGCAAGGCAGCGTGGGGAACATTTGAGACAACAGCAGATGAGGAGCTAAGGAAGCATCAGAAAGCACTGAGAGCAGATACTGAGATCGGGACTACAAACGGACCTCAAGACAAGGATGGGACTGTGTAAGAGATACTTAGGCAAGGGGAGAGTTGTATACAGACATGACAACAGGAAGGAAAAATGGCAAAAATGTGAAAGCTGGCTGATAGTGATCTTTAGTGATGGAAGCAGGCATAGAAAGAATAAACTGCACCTAGATCTTGAGGGAAACAAGGTAAAAAAAGTGAACTCGGGGGTAGGAAACAGTTAAAGGTAACACTCTGGGTTGAAGAACAGAAAGGTGTCTAGTGCTGTAAAGGAGAAGTCATGGAGGAAGGAAAGTTGCTAGAGATGAAGTGGGTTTGACCAGACTGTGGTAGCTGGTTGCACTATCTGAGCTGTAGGACAGGATCTGGCAAGAAAACTCCTTTGAATATTTTATGCAAAGAATTTTCTACTAACGCACACAGATCGTTGTTGGTAGAAGAAGTGGTTTTAAGAGCATACCAATACATTAAAAATATACTGTTTCCCATCAAACAGACATAACCCACCTCCTTTAAGCATCAGCTATCCAGGATCAAGATGCTACTGTGTGGAAACATAAGAAAAAGTAGCAACAGCAGGGAGATCCTTGTGTCAATGAAGGCACCAAAGTTGCATTACAGAGAGTACATAATGGTTCCTCACTGGATGCCAGTTTAAACCTTTTGTGACCTAACTGATCCAAAACTAGTCTACACTGAGAAAGAACGACTTTATCAAACAGCTGGGAGATATGGTGGAAATGGAGTAGGCTGTGCAGTCCTGCTTACACAACACTGTTAATACAGCCTTCTAAACCGTTCTACCCCTTTCTATCATTTACTTACAGATCAAATAAGCTGTAAGCAAACTCAAGAGGCTGAGGAAATTGAAGGTCTATCCCCTACAGTTTGTGCCTGCCTGTTTTCTCCATCTGCCTTTTCACAGAATCACAGAGTATGTTGGGTTGGAAGAGACCCATAAAGATTATTAAGTCCAACACCCTACTCTTTGAAGGACTACCCAACACTCAACCATATGATGAAGAGCATCATCCAGATTGCTCTTTGAACTCTGACAGGCTTTTGCACTGCTATGAGCAAGCTATCCTTGTTCAGAGGATTGCTACTTTAAAAAAAAATTCTTAAGATTTTCCCTTCACTGACATTTCCCCGATTTGCATAATTTCTTCTACTTTCACTAACAAAGAGCCACAAGGATCCTATAGGAGCACTCTCAAACTCATTGGGAGTTTTCCATCTCTGTAGAAACTGAGATGCTGCAGCTGAACATCCCCAGGTAACCAGCAGCTCTAAAACACACACATCTGTGGATTAGGTATTTTATGGGCCCAGTGCACACACATGCAAGTGCAAGTTTTAGGTAACTAGAGAAAAAAATCCTGTTGCAAAGGTGCAAGGAAGTATTTTTCATGGGTTTAACAAGAATGGGATAATTTTGGTCAGAGATATTTAAAACAGCAAGGGAACAGACTTTCATATCCTATAACCTCCAAAATACCCTGCTGAATGGTAAAACAATCAGAGTGGTAGCACTATGAAATGCTCACTTCAGTTCCTCAAGACATACTTTCCCACTTCTTGCAGAAAACTCCCTCTTTTCTCCAATGCAAGTCTCTAGAAATGCCTCAGCAGGCCACTGGGAAGCTGTGCTTCTCCAACTGGAATATCCTTCTCAAACTTTCATGTTCTTCCTTAGCAGTGTGTTCCCAAATGCAAACTGTGCTTTACTTGCCAGTAATGTATCTCAAACTTCCAGAGCAGGCAACTACTGGAAAAGTGATGTGATCTTTAACTGGCAAATTTCAGGGATTTTTACATGGAGAAGGTGCTCACTGTTCAAAGTGTAGTAGCCCAGCTCCATCCTGAATCCAAAGGCAGCCAGCACCTGATGTTGGAGAGAAGGGGGGAGGCTCTTATATTTTACTTAATAATGTTTTCTTAAAGCAGAGGCTGTTTAACTCTCCCATAAACTGTCTTGTATCATAAATCAAAGCCATAATAACACTATGATATTAATCTATTTAATTTCCTAAGAGCCTGGTGCAATGAGTCTCACCAACAGCTTCATTTTTCCCTTCCCAAGCATTCTTTCCTTTAGCACGACTTTCAGATCATGCCATACGGTGTCACCATCAGAGGAGGGAGCTGGGCTCCTTTTGCTTTCCCTTTGTGCAACACAGCTTTTCACAGGCTAGTGCCAGTGCTCAGATCCATGGCTCTTCCTCATTCTGGTATGCAATACACACAGTCTGTATTTTGGCACAGTCTCACCATCAGAGCTACATAATCCTCAGTTATGATATTCTTTAGTTAAAAATGTGCAAGTATTTTAACTAGAGCTGATCAGAACATCTGGGAATGATGAGCTGACATTAGTTTCCATGGCATTCTGTGGTTTGTTTTGGACATGTTTTACGTTCCTAGTTTCTGTGGAATAACATTTTCATTGTCCTGTTGTCAGTAAAATTCCAATTTTGCCTCCCTACTGCTATATCCTAAAGCCCCCAACAGTCAATAAATAAACTGTCTCTTCCAAGTTTCAGCTGGGGTAAACACAAGTAGTCTCCCACTGGGTTCCCCACTCATCCATGTTACTCTTTAATGGGATTCTTCACAATCCTTCAAATCTGAACAAACCTCAACTTTCTGTCACACTTCATCAACTTACATTTCAGTCTTTAGGACAGGGGTTAGCCTTTTAAGGACTTTCCCATTTGAGAAGCTTTTGAACAGCAGCTCTCTGTTTTCTACTGTTCTCTTCATACTTTTGAAAAAATCCTTCTGAGTGGAAGAACACCATTTAATTTTGCAAAACTTGCCATAGCTTCTCACAGTCACTTAAAACTCCTGTCAGTATTCTCTTAAAGCATAAATTTTTTCATCCTTTTCCAGCTGACTCAGTTCTCTCTTAGTTCTTATGGCAGCCTCTAGTACCAACTTTCAAGACAGACCTTCACATCCCAGTCTAATTCTCAAGTACAGCAACCCTTCATAACGATAACTTCATTTGTTATTTTCAGTAACTGAACTATTTCACTTTGCACTGTTAGGTCAGGTTTGTTCTGCCTGGTACTGGCAATTAGTAAAAACATTCCCAAGTTTTCCACCTTGCCTTGAACATCTCCAGTGCTGCTAGGAACTGATATTCTATTATTCTGGTGGGTAGAGAAGCAATTTTTAGGATAAAATTTTTTGGTGAAATTTATTACTGATTCCACTCCCCACCCCCCTTTCATCTAAAAATGAAAAACCAGAATTCAAATGCTCTCAGGACAGCTGGGTTCATGTTTAATGAGAAAAAAAAATTAAATTGTGTTGATATCTTCACATCAGTTCAACGTTCAGTTTGTAATCCTTTCCCATGAACTAATGATTTCTGGAGCATTTATGCCATGTTCTGTATTAAAGTCATTTACCTCTGGCTGAAATAACATGCTTCCAAACATCTGGACAATCAGAAATAATTTCCAACCACATGCTGTTTCCTGATGCACCATTTTTCTAAGCTAAGTAGTAGCTACTTTTACAACATCCTTAGCACTTAGAACTTCCCTCATTACAGAAAAAAAAGTAAATTCTATTTTTCAATTCTTCTCAATTATCTGGAATCAGAAAAGGTCTGTTCACTTCACAATCAAGTCTCAGGTTTGAGGAACAGCTAAAGAATTTGTAACAGGAAAAAGGTTTCCATGACATGGTGCCTCTGTAAAGGATAGTATTTTTTGATAAGGAGTTGGTGTGTTCACTACAGAGCACACAAACTCCCTAGAAGCCATTTCCACAGCAGCCATTTATTTTACTTCAAACCAACATCATCATCATCATGCAGCATGTGCAATTTTAAGCAAAATTTGTTTCCTCGTGTCAAGCAGCTTCACTGACTTCAGAGTGCAGGGTGTGGGTATTGCCAAAGGCACATCCCCTTGGCTTTCTTGGAAACCTATTAACTGCCTCCTTGGGATGAGATCCCCTTCAAAAATCTATCCTGTAATAGAAAACACAATCTAGAGAATTAATGAGCCACACATAAAAACTGAGGCACTCCCATCACCGAACGGCGTTACTTGAAGTCTAGAACCATTCAAAGCACTGCTTAGCAACCTTCAGGGAGCTTCCCTCTGTGTCAGGAAATGTCAGCATCCTCTTTCCCATGCAGAGCTGGGAAAAGCCAGTGTGCTGAAGCCCAGGGCTTCTGCAGAGGTCCCTCTTCCCTGGTGTCCCACAGGCAGTGGAGCACAGCTGCAGATGGAGGCTCGATCTGTGGCCTTCCCACAGCCCTGCCCAGCTGCCTGCCCATGCACAGTGGGTCTCAGCAGCCTTCAAAGCTGTGCAAATTGGAACACCTACTTTGCCTTCACTTCTTGGAAGGAATCAAGAAATGGTCTGGCAGCTCTGCTACATCCCTTTCCACCACAGGAAAACCTCTCCCACCAGCTCCTGCCACCTCACACAAGCGGGTGCCTCACTCCACCTCCACCAGCACAAAGGCAGGAGGATTTGCTGATTATTCTCTCTCTCTAAACACAATTGACTTCTCCTCTGCGTGAGCTCTCACACACCAAAACACGTTTTATCCTACCAATGACTGCTCCGGGCACCTCAGAAAGACAAAGCGTAGCAGCACCGTAGCTGTGGGCAGGCCTTCTCCCACCCACCTTGTTCCCTTCTCCCACCCACCTTGTTCCCTTCTCCCACCCACCTTGTTCCTTACCCGATGGAGCAGCACACGGTGGGAGCACACCAGCCCAGGAGCCACCGTGTGTGTCAAAGGAGAGTTGACAACAATTAGTGAACTGAGCAGACTGTAAAATAACTGCACCTGCCATGGCACGACAAGCACCTACACCAAAACTTTCCTTAACATTCCCAGGAAGGCCTAAGGGCCACAGCACTGTGAGCTTCAACAGCTGTTCCACTGTATAACCTCTGTGTTTAAAATCCTCCCATACCTGAATGGTACTATGTAAGTACTTATTGCCTTTTTATTCAAACTCACTAGAACTGAGAAGGTGAACTGCCAACTAAGGTGTGTCTCTGGGCAGGTATTTACAGCAAAAGCAGATCTACAGTAACTGACAACTCACAGATCGCTTCCTCAGCAGTCCAGCCTGCACATGCCCTCCAAAAGGGAGCTGAAACAAAGGAGAAATACCAGTCTTAAACCTTTAGTGGTCTAGCCAAGAATCCATTTTGAGAGCGAATTTCTCTAAGAAGAATTTCAGTTTACCAAAATCACTCGGCGTGTTCTAAAATTGCCATATAGCACATAATTTTAAATTTGTTGCAAAACTATGGTTTGCAATTAACACAGCACAGAAGGCAGAAAGTGCCTTTTGCCATTCTCTTTATGTTGAAAGATGAGTAATTTCTCACTTTTATGAGGCATCCTGAGAGTTAAGCACAAAAAAAATTGTACAAAATACAAGCTTGGTCAAAATTGACAGCATGTTTGGCCTTGCCTGAAGTGGTCAAAGAAACATAAAAATTTAATGGTCTTATTCTACAGCGACCTGGAAGTCATTTAATTTGCGTAATCAACCCTTCTAAAGTCTTCAGTAAAGAGGTCACAATTAAATGAAAAGATTTCTGATGCACTTTCCATGGCAACATTATAAAAATGAATGCAACTCTGCCACACAGAGATGCAAATCAATACTGAGGCTTACAAAGACCTATTGCAGACAGATGTCCATCCAGCACCATGAATCACACTTTTGTGTTTTTTTTTAATTTTTCCAAGGAAAAAAAGTACAACATCAATCTATTTTATTTGAGCTTTATTATAAACAATTCTGTAGTTTCCAGAATGGGATCACTACATATTAGATAACAAAAACATCATCAAATGAATCAGTTTTAGCTTTTACTAAATTAAATCAGAACCAGCAAAACAAGTATTTTTTAAAGGATTTAGTCTATTGCAAGAAAAACAGCTTTACAAACATGGAATTAAAGATACACATTTGATCATATATACAATAAGCAGCTGATGACACTCCGGACAGAAACATACAAGGAACTTTTTGCACATAAATAGATTTTTAGAAGTATATTTCTTTCACATGTATACAAAATTATTTTGCTTTCTATACTGAGAAAAGTTCTTGGAGACATAAACAAGGATTTCTAAGAGACAAAATCCCACATACCACTTAGGATGTGGGCTGTCATGCACACAAGGATGTCATAACACAATTTACACAGCATTCCTATACAGTACTTGAGCTTCTTATATACATACTTACAAGACACTTTTGTACATGAGATGCCACCTTTGCAATGGAAATGGCACCTCCCCTGAAAGGCTGCATTAGTTCCAGTGTTTGTATAAAAGGTATAACAAGTTTCAAAAGGCAGCACCACTCTGCTTGCAGAGTCAAGGATCCACTGAGCTGCAGCTACAGTGAAGGCAATGGGGTCATTAGGCTGGCCTCTGTGTTTGTACAGTCTCAGAGGGGAGGGTTGAGATGTGACCCTTGAAGTCTACACAATACCTCTGTAGCATGTTGCTGTGGCAAAAAGAATTGATTTTACCAGATCCATGGCTAAAGCCACAGACTTTTGCTCTTCAACTTTATCTTTACACTACTTAAGCCAAGCACTTAGTTCTGGTTTTGGGGGAGAAGTTTGGCTTTTATATGACCTTTCCAGAATGGTTAAATTATTTATCAATGGTGGGGTTGGGTTTAGCACACATACAACCTGTGAAATTTTTCTTTAATGCAGGCAAAAAGGGTGCACGGTGCAGCAATGACAGAGGACCCTGGTAAGCTTCTCTGGAGTGGGGAATGCTCAGCACCTATGAGAATCAGGTGTCAAGTCTGCTGTGAGATTAGGCCAGAATTCTGCTTTGTTTTAGGCACAACCGTGTCAGAAAAAGGGCTGGGGTTTTGCTCCTTGCTTCTCTTAATCATACTTTGTCTAACTAGGAAAGGGCACCCCGAGAACCCTCAGAGCAGCATGCAGGTGATGCCTTTTAAGACCTGACAGTGTCTAGATAAATGTTACCTGGACAGCCATAGCAAACACATACTATAGCTGCATCTGTGGGTTACACACAGCCATACTCATACCAAACTGTCTGCTGATCCCCCTGGGGGTCAGGAGATCCGGGAGTGCTGTTGGAGCTGCTTCCTCTCACAGGCTCCTCTACAGCTTCAGTGCTGCTTTCTTGCAGCTTACCCTGGCACTTAGTAAGTAGGGCATCACCCTGGCCATGCCCTAAGGAAGCATTTCCCTCAGTGCTGCTGGAAACAGCTCTGCCAGGGGCCCCTGTGGCCACCTCCTCAGTACGAGGGGCTGGCTTGGGTTTGACTTTTGAAAGAGTGTGCGATGCAGATGAGTAGTGCTGCCCAGGGTTCACATGCTCTGGCTGCTGGGCATTCAGACTGCTGGTGGATGCAGTGGGCGAGGCAGAGAACTGACAGAAGGAGAGTGGCCTCTCATCTTTCGGTGGGGCCAGGGAAAGGCGCCTCGCGTCCAGCTGCCGACAGCGGGAATCGACACCTTGCAAGGAACCTGCCACCTTCGCAGACTGTGGCCTCTCTCTTAAGATTGCCTGGGAGCTTGTTGGCACAGAAGCCCTGGTGCTCTGACTGACAACATCCTTGCCCCCATGCAGCTCTGCTGACTTCTGAGCGCTCTCCTGCCTGTAGGTCTCTGGGCCGGTGGCTCTGAGGAGGTCTGCAGAGGCTAAGCTGAATGCCCTGCTCAGGGATGTGCTCCTCTTGCTCGTGGTTCCAGGCTGCTGAGGCTGTGCCATCTGCCGCATCCCGCTGCTGGGCTGGTGCTGTGCTGTGTGAGGAAGCTTAAGGGACCCCCCCTGGGAGTTTGCCAGAGGGGGTTCCACTTGTCTAAGATTTGGCTTCAAGTAATTTCCAGGTTTAGGTGTTCTTCCTTCTTCATTGACAATAGTCATCTTCACGGTTGGAGCAACAAGACTAGTGGGCATCTTAGCAGCCTCCTTTCTGGATGGCTGAACCAGCAAGTTCCCAGTAGCTGAAGGCTCATTTGCTTTCCGAAAATAATCGCTGAGCAAGTCATCTCTGTTACTGGAGGTGTCCTGGTGTGAGAAAATATGTACATCACATTAATGACAACACTTCTTGTTTAAAGAATCACACAGGACTTTGTGTTCACATCATCTTCCTTCCCACTTAATTCAAACCAAATACAACCACAGATTTTATATTTAAAGTGGGGAACAGAAGAAATAAATGTTTTAAATGGGTATAAATCCAAATCAAGGAATAACGTGCTCATCATAATGAGATCATGACAGCCTTGTTTGCCAGGTTAATTGTCATAAATTTTGAAAGTTTTGTTTCACTTGCAAGCTGGACAGCAGCTCTTTTGCTTCCTTTTACATCAGCCACTGTCACTGTAACATCAATATCATATTAATGACATCAGCATTGGTATCAGCAGATATCAATGATGTCTGTCATCTTCCAGAATACAGTTCATCTGGATAACTCTCTACCATAACTTCAGGAACATAACAGGAGACCATACCCTGGGGAGATGTGCTAGCATTACAAGAAAGTTTCATTCCTTCTCCATTGATTCCCCTCACCTCTCCTAGTCAATATACTATATATGCTAAAAGCTGTGTGTACAATATAATAAAATGTACAAAAAATCTTTACAAAAATGGGGATATGATTGTTTGCCTACAATGAACTTTTTAAATTTCAAGTCTGACAATTAATCTGGCAGTAAAAAAACCCATACAATGAGTATTTCACGGGGATGGTCCATGCAATCCAAAAACGGTGATGTTTGATCTGCTGCCTTTGCATTATTAGTACAAGGCATGCTCAGAATAGTTGAGGGCCATGCTGTTTTCACAAAAAACATGCTGAACAAGCTCATGAAATTTACTTTGTTTCTCTAGGAAGTATGTTAAAGCTTAATATATTCACTTTGCTAGTGTGCCAAATATTTCTTCCAGTCAAAAAAACTCGTTTTGCAGAAGCAAACACCAGCAGTGGTAACAGTACAGCGTGAAGATTTCTATGCTCGACTAAGTGTTAAAGCATGAGGGTTATTTTTAACTTCAATTTAAACAGCTGCTACACATATTAACATTGCAGAATGACTAGTCCTCCAAAAACACGCACGTGTATGAACAAGCACTGGAAATACTTTATGAGCAATTAATGCAAGTGATCTGGCAGCCTTTAACAACTAAGAGTTACAGAATGCTTCTATAGATATTAATATGCTAGCAAAAGCTGTAGTAAGTTGGAGCTGTTGCCTTCATAACAAGAACAATGGATACCCTGGGGATATATAGTGAAGCAGATCTCCTATTCCCCCTGCCTGTCCTGTGCCTCAGGCTGTCGGGACATGAATGACTGAGGAGCGATTCAAGTGACTGCGAATGTTCCTGAGGAATGGAAGGACATTCGCAGCAGCAAGAGGGATACAGTGCATCAGCTTCTAACAGAAATTGGTGCAATGAAATCATTTCACTCTCATTTAAACTGCGCCGATGCTGAAAAGGAACAAGGATGACAGAAAGAATGAAAATGGAAACATGGTCAGGTAGTTACAGACACATACAAAAATAATAATTTTACACATCTCTATAAGCTACAAATTGTACTTAGGATAACGAGGGAGTAGGAGGTATATTTAAACATTGCTATGAAAATTCAAGGACCAAAATTTACTGGTACCATAAAATAGTACAGCTCTGCTGATTTCAACACTTTTACCAAAGCATTCATGAAACAGAAACATCTGTTCACTTACACTACCAATTAATTGTTCTTAAGATATTAACATGTTCAATACTGCACTGCCTCGCTACTGTACAGCACATCTGAGCAGTGAAAGACAAATGCCATCTAGAAAACATTTCATTTCTGATCACTTCAGTAAGTGACATATTCCTGCAGTCATTGAACCAACAGGGCAGTCAGTGCCAGTAAAAACATAAATGTGCAGCATGATGAAAGTATCAAGAACTTCCCTGGCAATAAAAATATTCTCTCTCATATGCACCGATATTTTCAGATTAAGAGATGGTTTTAACAACTGCATATTTTGCACTTCAATTGAAAACTATTTTAGGTTTTGTTCCTAATCATAGATTTAGCAGCTGAAAATTAAACAGAAAACTTACCAGTTCATAAATAAAACTACCTGGACCTGAGAACTGATGATGATTTAACACAAAACCCTGACCACATGTATTTGCTGGTAAAAAGTCCCAGCAGTCTGATACATAGCACTTGCAGTGAATTATCTGCCTGACTTGTCATAGGTGATACATCAAAATAAGTGAGCAGAGTGCTATGTGAAAGTTAATCTTGCCTTGGTTATTGAAACTGTTCATTCATCTTGCAAGATTCAACAGTACTCACACATATGAACAAGGATCATCTTGTCTTTCCTTGTTTCCCTATGGCCTCATCCTCCTGAATCAGCTTTGAACAGTTTTTTGACAGCTGGAATGAGCCATCTAGCTCTCTTTACTTACACTTGGTGGAGACAGCCTGTTGCTCTCTTCCAAGAACTCTTCCAAAGTTACCATCTCACTGCCAGGTGAGGCAGCCCGTTGCCTGCCTGGGTAAGACTGAGATGGGTTACTCTTCTGAGATTTATCATAAGAGATCAAACCATTCCGGTGAGAGGAGGACTCTTGCCTGCTGCTGGGGCTTAAGATGGCAGAAGCAGAGTGAAGGGGATAGGTGTCTCGGAGCAAGGCTGGTGCCTCTCTGCTTGGCACCATATCTTCACTGCTGAGGCTCTCAGTTCTACCATGCATATGGTCTAACGAACCTGAGGAGAAGCGTAACTATCATTAATGACACTGCTCTGCCCTCATTTCAGTAGATTTCTTACTGAGGTAGAAACTTTATCATTCAGGGTTATTTCAACACAGACTGGGTGGTATTTTTTACCTTCCTTCTCCTACAGAGCTCAAGGCAATCAGAACTTGGAAAGATCAGGACTAGTAAACGTGTTACAGCACATACTTTGAGCTCTATGTTAAACAAACACAATTACTTCTCCAAGGAATAAGAATTGGCAGCCTCTTTACAACCCCTTTGTCACTAGGAGATCTCCCAGTCTTGGTTATGTGATCTGAAAGCCAGCACCTGACAGTGGGAAAGCAGAGAGCAGATTTCTCCACAGTGTCAGGTCTCCAGGCATCCTTCAAGGATGCACAAATTCAGCAAAGTAAATCTCCACAGCACACTGATTCCATACACAAGTGTTGTACAGAGTAAGAACCACAGAGACCTGTTGCTGTAAAGAGTCTAAGAGTGGCCTGATACTTCCCACAGTATTGATGCCAGTCAGACTGAAGAAAAACTAGACTTCCTGCCTTAAAAGCCACCCCTTGCCAGAATCAATCTTAGAAAAGTACTTCTTGCCAGCAGTTTTGATTCCCAAGACAACCATGTCCAGATTTCATAATCATTACAATTTCAAAACAACAGTCTTCAAAATTAATTGGAAAGAAAATGGCATTTTGCATACAGTTTCATGGAGTTTCACTTCCTGTTTGTCACAACTCAGCTGTAAAAGCTTTACCTTTTAAATTGAGAGGTGAACTACTGCTGGAAGCATTCCTACTGCTCTCCAAACTGCTTGGCCTGGACACTGAAAAACACAAATCAAGCATAGAACAAACAGATCTTAAGTTTATCTGATTCCCTAAAAGACTTGGTTACAATCTCCCTTCTAAAATAGGACCTGTGCAACTAAAAACATTAACAACATAATATCTAGAGGATGCCAAAATCTGGACAGAGTAGAAACTGTTTTCATTTTTAAAGTTGTTTAGCATCCATCTTGTTTATCTCAGTTATTTTTTGCACAAAGAAATATGTTTTGGGTTTTCTTTTTACAGCAACTATAAAGTAATGTAAATACTGAAAAAGCTCAACAATAAGTTGCTGTCTCTTTCTCAGTTTTCTTTGGAAGGAGTTGGCAGCCAGACGGCAAATTAAGTCTTCCACAAATCTCTAAACAGGCAGTGCTGCTGTTTCAACAGTGTTCCCACTGTGCATCCACACCCCAAATTTTTCATATTGCTGGTTCACTCCTTTAAGAAAGGAATTGAACACTATCCAGAAAAATCAGCAACAAATCTGTAGGACATGCATTAAAAAAGTCTGCTGGGGCAAGGCAACTTGCCTCAATGTCAGCATTCATTTTCAAAATTTATTTTGGCAAAACAGCCATTAAAAGCTCCTCAATAGAAAACCAGAAATACTTAGATTCACATTCCCAAAATGGTGCTGCATTGCTACATCCCCTTCTATTATGCTAATTTAAAATATTCTAGGACAGTTCATGTGGATGCAATGAAACAGGTCTTAATGTAGACGTTTAGATCACTCATATATACTATAAGCTTACCATGCTGTCTGGTGCTTGCCAACTCCACCTCAGGGGACTGTTCACATAGATTATCTTCTGAATTATAGCCTGGAAAAGAAGGTAAAAGGTAATATTGAATACAGAAAAGTTAATCCTTCAGGTCAGTCTCCAATGTATTCTAGCAGCGTAGAAGACTGAGGTGGTCAACAGGTTTTACAGACCCAACACTGCAAGAGCAGCCACCTTCTATCCACTGGGCAGGGAACCACAGAAGCACTGATGTTCAAATGTGGTCTGTCAAGCTGGTGACATTACAAGACTGAGGAAGCCCTGTATCTGATCAATTAAACCATTAAGAAGATAAAGTAGGAGTAAAAATACTAGTGCTTTGGTTTTGTACTTGAATGCCACTAGTAGCCTTGTAGGAACTATGAAATGCCTGACTGGCACTAAAAGTTGGTGTATCAAATGCACCACACACCTTTTGGTCTGCTCTGGAGCCTGGAGATGGGGGTGGAAGTGTGCAGGTGAATAGCTGAGGTTGAGTAAGTTCTGGAACCCATTTCCACACAGCAGGGTTTTGTCACAGAGTCTGCTGAGATTTCAACATTATCATTGCTGCCTCCGTGATGGGAATTCCTTTTTTGCTTTAGGTCCATTAGCACTGATGGGGAAAGAGGTAAATAAATAAGAGTCAATGAAAAAAAAATAGCACTAGAGGATTTTTATTTATCTGCCTATACAAACACGACAAGCAGGCACAAAGAAACTGCACAACATAGGCGACAGTTTTGCAAGCTTTTCCATAAACAGTTCAGTAGTGGATAGGAAATTTCTGCCACCAGCTTGTCAGTCATGTGTGCTCTCTGTAAAGTGTGGGAGTGACAAGGGCTGCTTAGTGCTGGTGGGAGGGTTGATATTATACATGCAACAATTACCGTGAAAGGAGGAAGAAAAGGAGCAAAGACATGAATCCAGAAAAGATAAGTGAGGTGTGAAATTCCCAAAGCATTATTCCTTGTAGGTACATTTTATAAGCACTTCAGTAATAAAATAGAATAAGGAAGGAGTGACAGTAGTCACGCTCTTACTCAAAGAAAAATAATGCTGATTTGGAAATTATCTAGCATGATCCACACACTAAGCTAACTGCTTTCAGGTTTAGATCTTTGCTGTGGGTAAGAGTTCAGTCTTTACAAGGTTAAAACTCTGCTGCTCTTATGATGTTCTGGTGCAATGATTTTTAAGTGGAGTTCCTGGGATCTTAGCAGGAGAACAACAAAAACTGTCTGCTAGAATACTACTTAGATTCAGAAAGCTGAAAAATTCTTTTCTACTGATGTGGTAAATTAATTCATTTACTGCAATGTGAATGTAATACTTTAAGGCACACATAGAACAAAATTTGAAGAATTTACTACAGAAAACACACTTAATGAGATGCAAGATTAAGTAATAGAAACTAAATGCTGAAAACACAGCAGAGTGCAGCAGTCAAAATAAACAGCTTGCAGAGACAATGGACACACAGTTCAAAGCACAGAGCAGCTGTAAAGTTGTATTAGAGAAATGGATCAAGCTACTGTCATCTTAGATGGCTCCTGGAAGCTGACTTCAAGAACAATGTTTTCTCCCACAGTTTGTGTGGACTCAATAGCACAGGGCCAGCACTTGCTCTCAGAACTGAAGTTTATGCTGTGCCTGGAGGGGCAATTACTGGCTAAAGCTTGGCATGCAAATCTGTACTTCTAATGGACTTTGTAGATGCACTTAACACCTTCCATAGATGCCAAAAATATTAATTGCCCGAGAAACAAACATTCTTTACAAATTCCAAAATGGGCGGCAACAGGTTGTTCTGCCAGAGTCCCTGGTTGTGCCACTGAGGGACAATTCTCAGAATGAGAAGGGGAATGAGATCTTTAGGCCTCTCTGCTGTCCATGCTGCAGATGATTCTCTAACAGAGTGGGGACTAGACCTGCACACTCATTTCAGAAGCCACTAGGTCATGACTGTGAGGCAACAAGAATTCTGGGCAATGGATCAAAGATGAAGGTTATTCCCTGTCTTAAGAGAACAAATTTACTTTCTTCTTCCAAAAAAATCTGTTGAAACTGAAGCAGCAGAAACTGAAACTTCATCTCAATTCAAGATGAATTTTCATAGTTGGAAGTGTAAAACCTTACTAAATATCATGTTTGAATGCAAACATCAAGACAGTTGGCTGAGAATAATTTTTCCAGTAGTTTCCATTCTGTATTCAAAGCTAGATTATTTAAAAGCAGACAAAGATGTTAAAAATCCTACCTTTTGTAATCATTTAGTGGCACAGAATACTGGAAAAGTCTTTAGGATTTGAGACTGTATTTGTATTTTAGTAGGACTACAACATTGTAGAAAGCATAGCAAAAGCAAATCAGTCCAACACTTCAACTGGACACAATGCAAATATGTGATTGCAAGAAAATATTGAAGCGAACAGCAACTTCACTTACTTACAACATGCACCACAGCCAATATACATACGCAAACTGTATGCCATGAGGTCCCCTAAAAGTGTGCTGCATTGAAGAAATGATCCACAGTGTGCAATAGTGATTCATCTTCTACGGGAAAACTTAAGTCCATGTTCACTAATCTTTGCTTGTATTTAGAGTATTGTAAAGACATGCTGAGTGTTTCTATCAATGTGCGTGTTCTTTTAAGGTGTGCGGGATTTTTTTGTGTTTGTTTTTTTTTAATATTTGTGAGAAACAAATGAAGATAAATGCTAAAGAGAAGGTGTTAGAAAACTCCCAATTCCGGGAAAGAAAGAGGTTCATTAGGAGAGGATGGGGTGTCGGAAGAAGACCAGAACCGGAGCCGATTAGAGAAAGACTGATGATTCGATGGAGACTTAGGAGACTTTTCTTTATCCTTGCTTTTGCTTCTCAAAAAGGCAATCTTTTTGCGCAGTGCAGCTAAATTGTTATCACCCAGGTATCCCAAAAAGAAGAAGAAAAAAGGTAAAATAAAAGCATTGTAAATAAAACTTAGCATCTTAACACAGATCAAAGACTACACAACCAGTAAAAACAAAAAGGCTAAACAATGACTAACACCTATATTGGAGGACTGATGAACGTATAGTTAACCATAGCTAATCTGACTCAGATTAACGCATAGATTAACACATACACATAAAATGTAAGCAAGTCCTTTACAAAATTACTGTTAGATCACCCAAAATGTTTTTACTTAATAATATAAGATCAAATAGGTGTGCATGTTTCTCAGTGATAACATACTCAAACGTCCTAGATGTCTTCTAGGCTTTAATACTGATGGCTCCTGAACTCCACGTAAGCGTGTTTCACATAACATCAAAACAAATGAAGCCACAGAGACTTTCTGTTATCTCTGGCACTCCACAAGGGCCTAGTTCTGTGGAAACCCAAGCCCAAATCCCATGCTGAAACCCAGATGCATATTAAACCCTCAACATCTAAAATCACATGGATGATCTGAGACATGTGTTTTTATTTTAAATGAATAAATGACCTTGAAGGATTAGAATGGAGAGAGAGAAATATAAAACTCAATCAAAACAAAAACTTCAGACAGACAGATATTTGCAGTAGTTTATAACAAGAATTCTACTCTTTTCAGCTGCTCCCCTTCTGTTTTCCACACTCCTCGGTGGGAAGACAGGAATTATTATTCAAGTATTAATTTCAAAATTGCCTCTTGAAAAGTATTCCTGGAGAACAATGATCTATATATAGAAGCTGACAGCAATGCTCTCAGTAGAATAAACAAAGCTTGGGATATATATTACCTTTAATAAGGATGACAGAGTATTTATTTTGAGGAGCTTTCGTTTAATTTTCCCATTATTGGGAACACCTGATTTACTGTATAAACTAACTAAACAGAAAAAGTAATCATTCTATCTTCCTTACATTTGTCCTAGTGTTCAAAAAACAAAAAATCATTTCATCATTTTACATTAACTAATTCCTAGTTTGATTTGAAGTCAAAAGATGGCAAAGTCCTCCAAAACAACCAGGTTACGCTAAATTGGCATTTGCCACATTATTTGTTTTGCATGTGCACCACCTGCTGGCAGTGGCTGTCAGCCAGATCGTGCCCGTTGAAAAAGCAGCCTCTGCTCCTGAACCACACACCACTTTATCATACAGCTTTAAACTGAAACTGCTTTGCTGCAAAACCCCACTAAATGAGATATTTCAACCAACTTATTCGGTAACATGCAATACATTTGGGCAAACCAAGAAACTTCATACTAAAGTTGAAGGAAGAAGTATGAAATAAAAGGAAGAAATCAAGTTAAAACCAACCCCCTACCTTCTAGATTTTACTCCAATTTTTAGTTTAGGTTTCTTTGCTCACTAATATTTTTATTTTACTAAAAAAGCCAACAAAACAAAACAAATAAAAAGCCAAACACCACTCCCCCCCCCAAAATATAATATGATTGAATATTAACATATCCTATATATTACATCTTTTAAAAATATTTTTCAGCTCCTGATTTTAGGCTGGGCATTCCTTACCTTTGTTTGAAGAACTCCCAGGGCTCTCTCTCTCTTCCATAGGATTTGACCCTTGAGAGGTATTATCCTGAGACTCGTGTTGATGTTTCAATTTCTGGGAGGCAGATGGAGAGTTTACCATCTCTGGGGATTCAGAATGCCATGTGGGACTTTCTGCTGCTGGTTTCAACCGCTCCCTTGTAGTCTCCTTCTTTGGCTTGATTAGTTTGACTAAGGCTCTGGCTCCAATCCAGTGGTTTTTCCTGATAAAGCAGGTTTTGTGAATGGAATTCAGAAAACTCTGCAAGAAATACTCCCCAAAGAAGTTTACAGCTGTGCTAAAAACACCAAGCCATCCTACATTCTTATTTGTTTACTGTCATGAATTGGCTAAAAAAAATGCAGCACAAATTTCACGGAGCTTGGAGATCCATTTCTCCCCTGAAGTCAAAATTACTTTACAGAAATATTTCTCTGGCATGAGAAATGTGAGAAAGACAACTGTTCCCTCTGCTAGAATTCTAAACTACACATATGGACCCACATGAGACATTTTAACAGTGCAGAAAGCTCTACTACAGGAACAGACTGAGGAGGAAAGAAATCAAAATTGCTTTAAAGCTGAATCCCTCTCTTTGCTAAGGCTATCAGTCAGAACTATGTATAGTGGAATTCGCTTGGCTCTTTTTTGTTGTTTTTAATATAATTTTTTAAGTCCTTTCTCACCAACAGATTGCTTTTTCACAATTAATATTGTTTCAGATTGCTGTATTAATACAGAGGGCCCCTCATGAGGTCCTGTGCTCTACATTAACACAATCTGCTGCTTCAGAGAATAGCTTGCTGAGTCAGAGTGAAGATTGCCCTTATTTAGATAATATTTCTATTATCCCCAGTTAAAGAAAGCCCTTTCTTGCTCTCACAAATCTGTACAACAGCAGAACTGAACCCATGTGGGACTTACTTTTTTGGAGCAGGATCATAGAACTTGTACTGATCCATTATCTTCTCTTCAAGTTTTTCCTTGTGTCTCCTTAAGGCATTCAATTTATCACTGTGAGGGGGAAAAGCATATTCTGAATCAACTGTATGAAATTAAGCATAATAAAAAAACTGAAGACCAAGAGACACCAAGAGAGGAAAGAGACTGAAATATCTTCCTATCCCAAACCTTCAGAATCCTCCTGAGCTCATTCACAACCTCTTTAGAAAGTGCAAATGCAAAAGCCTACCAAATCTGCTGATGGATGGTTTTTGTGCAATAAGCACAAAAGGTGAAAGAACAGTAGATGGTGGTGCTAGGTTACTCACTAATACCTCAGTCAGAGTTTGTTTGGGGGATGTTAAGATTAACTATATTTTTTACTCATTATTTATTTTATTAACCTACACAGTGGAAGTTGGCAAATCTTATTTTCATTCAGGTAGTAGGTCAAATGTACCTCCATCACAGAACTGTCAGACACCTGAATAAATATGTTAGAATACAACATCTGAACCATATTCAGCCAATTTCAGCAAATAATTTCTAAAATTTCAGCCATATAAGCCAGTACTGATACAAAACTCAACTCAGGAACTCCCACATCATCCTGATGTGCTGAAACGAAAATTCTTAGGATTAACAACACTTTTCTTCCTTCTTTCATACCAATAACAGAAATTCACTTGCACTGAGAATAGGATTCTTTGTAAATGTACAGTATCTTTGAGCAGGGTATCTCACTTAAATGTGTCACCCTGTGCATGAAGGATGCAGCAATGTATGTGCATACATGCATCCCTAAAAACAACATCAAAGCAGGTATTTCTTAAAATGCAAATGACAAAAACTAGAGGAGTATGAATATTTGCTATTATTCACAAACTTAAATATAAAATGACTCTCATAAGACTAAATTTTTGTAGCAACTCAGCTGTTTTTCAAACTCTTTCCAAGCTTTCCAAAACCACTCTTCTTTGAGAAGTACCACTGAGTTTAGCATTCCATCTTTTATAACTAAATTTTCCACATAGGTTGATCTACATTATTTGAAAAGAGCTGTGCTTGCCCAGCTGTCTCCTGAACATTCCTTTGCAGGAAGGCAATGTGAAGAAATTTTGTGCATTCTCCCATTACATATATCTCCTACTTAAACATTCCCTCTTCCAGCCATATATCAAGTAGACCTATCGTTCTGCTTCCTGTCCTTCTACTCCTGATAGATGATTTGTATTCTATGTTTGCCTAGATGGCCTTTTTTAGGTTTCACAATTCAAATCTCTTTTTTCTTACATGTACTGTTTCTGTTCTTCATGATACTGCTCCTTGCTCTCCATGGTCTGCTCCAGTAACATCTGATTCTGCTGGCTCAGCATCTGAATCTGACTCAGAAGATGATGGTTTTCTTCTTCCAGATTTCCCTTTAGACGTGACAGCAGCTATTAAACAAGACAAATTAATCTCTCCTCTGGTCTGGCTTCCCTGGAGTGCACCATAATCAAGCTAACACAATAGCATGGCAACCTAGGATAAAAACCCATTAACTTCAAAGTATATGGGGGTGTTGTAATATAGTTTGACCTTCCATATATAGCATGTCACAAACACCACACAATGACTGTCAGCTCTCTAATAGGAATGCAGTAGTAGTTGCATACCTACAGCTACTCACCTCACAGTGGTTATCCAGCTTGGTCAGAGAGATATCCATGGACTGGTGCTGTTCCTTCAGCTCATCGTAGCGAGCTTGCCAACGATTCAGCTCCAGCTGAGAGTTATTCAAGGAAGTTTTCAGCTCTTTAGTGTGTGAATGCAGCCCTTCATACTCTGCCTTCAGTTGGCTGTGCAAGAAATTCACCCTAAACATGAAGAAGCCAGCAGGCTTGTGAAGGACACTTCACAGAAAGGACCTCACATTCAAAGACCACACCACAGTTTGCAGCTGTCACTAAATCAAATATAGTTCCAAAGAATAACTCCTAAGGACATTTTTATTCTAAGCATATAATAGATTTTTATTAGAAAGTAGTGATAGCATTATAAAAAAACTTCAATTCTACAAAAGAACTGAAAGGAAAATACATGAAACATAAAACTTCTATTTCCTCAATATGTAAGGAACACACCACAAGTTTCTGAGGCACAATGTATTTAAGAGCATTTATATATAAAGGCAGCTCTGTCTGGCACAAATAAACACTCGCAGGTTATTTTTTTTCTCCTGATGCATAAAAAAAGAGCATTTAAGTGTCCTGAACTGTGAAACACTGTAGTATTGTAAGATGATACTGTGGTATTCTTTTACAGCTTTTGATAAATCTAAAAATGTCTACAAATGATGAAGACATAAATAAATAGATAATTAAAAAAGATTAAGTTCCGTATCTGCTGAGAGATCAGCTAAGCCTGCCTCTCTGCCAGCATTGCAATCAACATTTTGCAACATCTTTCTTTGTCCCTCAGAAACTGAGTTAGAAACAGTAAACTTGAGGAAACCTCCTCTGCAGTGTTCTGAAGTACACTTGTACAACTGTAACTCGACTTAACATGTGACTTATAAATATGATTCAACCTGACATTGCTTTAACTTGATACAGTCTTGGCCCCTTGTACTAAACTGTTCCTCAAAACACCTTTGCAGTATGAACAGTGGCAAGGATATAGGGATCCTGGATGTTTTACTGCTGCATTATGTAGAGTTTGGATGCTGGCTCTCGAAAGGGGTTCTGCCATGACTTACCAGCTACCCAGTGATCATGAGTTACTAAGCCTGCTTTTAATAACAGAAACGGCAGTTTTTTCTGGGCAGTAGTAAATAAATAATGGTAGCTTCAAGAGCAAAATCATATTGTGTAAAAACCACAAACCAGTTCTCCTTAAGGGAAAAAACAGCAGAGTAAGAACAATTTCACAGAATTCTAGACACTATTGGGGTGGTTGGACATTTGCAGTTCTGCCTAAAGGTGCTTAGAAACAGCCAATTGCAGAAAACACCTGTGAACTGAGCCACACGTGGAAGCTTATTTTGTATGAACAAAGGTCCCAGGATCAGACCATGTCTGAAGCACCAACTAACAGTAGTTGATGACAGTGTTCATGAAGCTGACAAATCTTAAATGAGTTAAAATTATTAAATTAATAAGACAGAAATTGACAAAAAGGAAGACACATTAATGAAGGTATTCTGGAGTAACACTCAACACGGCAAAACAACCATTGTCTGCATAATTGACTTTTTAATGGTATAGAATTTAGAGAAGGAACCATACCTGTCCAGTTCCTCCCTCAGCTTCTGATTTTCCCCAGTGGTTATTGCATTTGATCTTCTCTCTTGTTGCAGAACCTCTCTCTCAGTTTTTAAAACTAATTCCAACTCTTCCAATTCTGCCTTGTGTTTCATTAAACTGTTGTATCTGCAAAAGGAAGAGTAGCATACCCTCAGCTTTCATTTAAACATTTTCTTTCCTCTGGGTTAAGATTTTTAATAGGTAATACCCAAAGGATCAGAAAGTATTTTTTTCCTGCTTGCTTAATTTCATCCTTGTGCATGGTTAAACATCTACCAAGGCTGAAGATTTCCACACTGTGCATGAAAATTCGGCTTAGTATACAAGTCAAAAGAGAGGGCTTCAGAAAAAAAAAAGGGGGGGCAAAAAAGGCAGCATTTTTTAAGCAAACTGGAACACAATTGACAGAATCTTGCTTCAATTCCAGATTCTGGTCATTTGGTAAAAAATGTGAGATTCTCCAGGGTGCATGGAAACTGCAGCACTGAACTGGAAACCTATTCACAAGTAATTGTCAGGGGCAGGTGTCAAAAACCTGACTAAAAAGCAGCAGACAAAAAGCAACAAGAAAGCAGGCAATGAGTTTATTAGGTAACAACCTAATGCATGTTAGTTTATATGCACAGGTAATAGCATCCTGCATAGGTACTAATCTCCTGCATACTCCAGGCAGATAATGAGGAGAATATCAGTGAGCTGACAGCAAAACACTTTTAAGCAGAGGCTGACTCACCTGCTTGAGTGGCTCTACTTGTTCACTAGTGAGAAAACCAAGAGCAACGTTGGTGTTTGCATCGAGGCTGCCACTGTTATTTGGGTTATGTAACTTGCACATAACCACTCAGGGTGGGGAGATAGGTAGAGACAGAGGGCTGATGCCATCAACTCTGTCTTTAATTTTGACCTCTGGAATGCTAAAGTAACAGAGGTGTGGAATAACTCCCCTGATATTTGGCACAGGCAAATATTAGGCAGGCTCAGCCTCCCTGAGGTGCCACACCACCCGCATTCAGAAAATGCTGCAAAAAATGAGGTGGATTGAGATCACTTCACAAAACAGCAAGCTGTTCCCAGATTTTTTAACTCTGGTGGTCTCTATCAGGATCTGTGCCCATACACACACACCAGCAGAGGCCACTGGGGACACTGGTGCAGTGTCTGTCAAAAGTCATCAGCACATTTTTCAGTGACTGTGATAAAAGGATACTGCCCCGAAATATCAGATGACAACCTGTGTCAGTAATGACAAACCATGACAACCTGTGTCAGTAATGGAGAAATATTCTTCTAAGCAATTTAAAACAGAAATTTAAAACAGGTGGAAGATGCAGCACTGCTTAAAAAGCTAAAGAGAACGAGCATCATCATCATCATCTTTCATGCCAGCAGGGATGAATGCAGAGCACAGTTACTCTGCAGTCATGAAAAGTCCACAACAAAACCAAAATCAGCAGACAGCACCAAATACACTGACTCCTGCCAACTTGTTTTTCTTTCAGGCTACCATTCCCTTCATCCCAGGGTCAAATTACAGCCTGTCCCAAATTCCAGTCCATTGAAGGGCCACACAGAAAAGTACCTGTCTCCCAGACAAAAGCTGCTTTATGCTATTCATTCCTAGTAACAGCAGTAGACTTTAATTAACCTTATTTATTTGTTTTCTTCCTCCATTCAGCTCTGGGACATTTCAAATTCAATGTCCGTACAACAAATGGAAGAACCTGAAAGCAGAGGAAGGTTTCACATCCAGCTCCAAGAGGGATTTTAGACAGAATGCATGCCAATCCAGAGTCTAAGACAAACTCTGCAGTCAGTCCTTTGGCAGAGATTACCATGGCTGCCTCTGCAGAAACTGTGTTGTAAATTCTTTTGCCATTTCTGTATGATAGGGTTACTCCATTCATTTTTATCCAAGCCCTCTATTTTTTAAGGAAGGCTATTTATAGGGAAGCAGCATACCAGTCCAGTTTTACCAGCCTGGCCCAGCACCACAGGCTGCCACACTGAGCCTGAGGTAGACCACAGCTGCTCTCCTAGTTGTTAGATGAAAGGCAAGAAAGAGGAGACTGTCTGCAAAAATGCACATGATTCTGCATCACCAGAGCTCTAATGAAGTCATCAGGCAAAGTTTTCTTGTACTCCAGATTTAGCACAGAGTCCACCATTTGAGCTCAATCTGTGCCACCTGACAAGCTCTACCACCAGGGACAAGCTTACCACCCATCCTGTAGACTACTTAATACTCATGTTCATTTTTAAGCTTCAGGCTCTTGGACAGAAGGGTTTAAAAAAACATGCATATGGGATCCATTTTGGCTCTGACACAATTCATTCCTAGGATTGAACAATCATATTCCTTTTTACTCCTTTTGGCTTTCACTCTTTCTGCCGCTTTTTTAAGAGGAATACTGAGGGCAGGTATTTGTGACTGTGAGAACTCAAAAAATGCTCAGCTATGATAAAAAGCATGTGACAATAGGAACCCAGAAAAAAGCACTGGTAACATAATAATACAACTCCGTGCAATATGCAACCCTCCACAGCAGCGTTTGTTTTTCCAGTGTCTCTGCAGGATTAGACTTCTCCAGAGTAAGCTACAAAGAAATGCTCAAGGATCTGTTAATCAATCTGGAAGTTATTACCTTCCCTTAGTAACGTGCAGTATGTAAAGCAATTTTAAAATGCAACAGGAGAGGCCAGCCTTTCTGTGTCAGCCAAACACCGCAAAGCTAAAAAACTGCTATTAATGGTGAAAGACCACAGCATACTAACTGTCCTTTTATTGCTAAGTCAAACCCACACATCTGTGGCTTGCTGGGCTATGACAGGCCATTTCACTGCAGTCACACAGAACCCATTATTAAATCCACATTTCAGTGTTAATACTGTGCAGATAGAACCAAGAGAGATTTGATGAAGTTTGCTCAGGTGCAGAAAATATTCTGTGGTTAGAATGCACCAGAGTGAACTGCACGAACCTTGGGGACCTTGGCTGTACACAGGGCTAGGCGTCCACACGCTACCTAAAGTTGCTGTGGATTTTTCTAGATGAGCTGCAGTCATAGGTTTGTGCAGAAGTGTAATTATGCCTTAAGCACCAGAAGTATGATTACAGTGCTGTCACCAACTGAGAAAAAACAATTACCTTGGACTTGTGACAAGCAAAACCCTTCTCTTGAACACCACACAAGCAAACTTCTTGGCTGCACTGAGCTGCTCTGGGGAAAATTTAGCAGGTGGTGCATTACAGCTGAAGTTGAAAGTGAGATATTCCATTTTAGCAGTTAAATGCCTTAGAGTAGCATAAGAAAACAGTTTTCTTATAGCTGTTTCTCCCTTCTGCTCCCTCAGCCAGCTGAACTGCACAGCATATGATGGAGGGAAAACAAAATACACACTCAAAAAAGTGGCTGTTTCCTGACAGTCAAATGGATACACAGGTTGTCCTTGGACAAATCACCTTGATAAGTATCTTTTGAGACTGATCTGCTGAGGAGGACACTGCACTCTTAAAACTGCCAAACTCAACCCGCTTTGAGTGTAGAGAAGGCCACCATCTGCTCCCTTGCAACATCTCTCACTGGCAGTCGTATCTCAGAAACAGAAGTTCAAATTATTATTCATTACACTGGCGATTGGAGCACTTATTGCTACAGACAACCTATTTTTTGAAAAATACTTTTTCCTTAAGCTAGAGTTGTTTAATATTTGGTACTCATCAAGCAAAGAAAGAACACTGCCTTAACACACTGCAGCAGTGTGATAATCTCAAGCAAAGCCTGAATTAACAAGAACCATTAATCAGTCTGAGAGAGACTTGGTAAGCAGAAACAGTGTCTGTGAAATCACTTACAGCTCATTTAGTCGACAGCCAAGCAGCTGTCCTGCCACATAGCCCCAGTGGATATTTTAATCACAATCAGTTTATTTCTGTATTTTATAAAAATCTACTACACATTGTATTTGCCAGTTCCTTAGTCTTTGGGAAAGAAAAGTTTAGCGCCAGTTTTCCAGTCCACCATAAAGGATCACCACTGAGTTGGTCTGAACCCAACTCATGATCTTGCATGGAAATTAAACCTAAATAAAAGTGTTTTGAGGAAAGTCGCTGAAATGTATAAGAAAAGTTTTGAGAGGTGGGCAGAGTGGCATTTATGTTGTAGTACATTATGTATATTGTTCAATCCATACACAGTTGTCAGAAAATGACAGTGACTAGAGTCTAAACAATAAACAGATTGCTGATTTCCTAATTCAATTGAAGGGCGTGAAGCAAAAGCTTTAGATTGCAAGAACTAGAAGAAAATAGGTAATACATCACTATCTCATAGCTGGGTCAATGTGGCTTCCATCAGAGAGCCTCCTTTGACATGACATTGATGCCACGCACAAACTTCAGTGATTTAAATTTCTCAAGATATATGCTACTCACACATGGGCAACTACCTATGTGGCTTGCAGACTTCATGATGAGAAGAGATACCACACACAGTAGAACTGGGGAAATCCTTGTAAAGCTTCATGATATTATAACACAAATCCTTAAATGCAGTAAAGGCATTTAGGCTACTTCTGACAAAGCATTCCCAATACCTGAGCCCATGGTTACTAAATATCACCAGAGTCACCTCTGGTCTGCCACCTTTAGAGGTCTAAAATCTACAATCTAGAGCTTTGCAATGTCCTAATGACAGCAAGAATGAGTAGACACTTTTTCAGAGGAACAATTTAGTAATTTCTGTTTGAAATTGCAGACTGACATTTAAGGTTAAAATTGTAACATGGGCACATTCTGGCTACACTTATACCCCTGAGCAGTGAGCGTACCTCTCACCCAGACCTTTGTGCTCCAGATCCAGGTTTTTGTGTAATGTTTTCAGGCAGCTGTGCTGGTTTATTAGCATTTCATACTCTGCAGACTGCCGTTCATGCAGTGAAGCAAGGTGTTCATGGTCTTGAAGCAATGACTCATACTCTGCTTTCAGCTGCTCCTTCTGTTTTAGTAGATTTTCATTCTCATTCTCCTTGGCTGTCTGCTGATTTTGGAGTAAAGCATTCTGGGCCATCAGTGAAGCACTCTGGGAGCTGAGAGTTGAATTTTCTACCTAAAGTTTCTCAAATAAAAAGAAAGTATTACTTATTCACATCTACTGGTACATACAACAAACTTTTTGTAGAACCTTGTATCCATACAGAGTTAGTCAAGAATGCATCCACTGCCTTGCAGACTTAAGACATCTATTGACAATTTGGCATCATTTTGGTATTACTGTTGGTAGTATGCACCATGTAAAACCATGCTATCAGCAGTATGAAAATCATCACAATAACCTCCAAATTGTTTTACTAGAAGCTCTTGAGCCTGAAAACCAAGATGAGATGGAATACTCATAACTCAATTGCTTCTTGACAATGATGTACAAAGTCAAAAGTTATCCCACATTTGTGTACAAGTAATGAAAACTTAAGTTCACCCAAACTCAAAAATATTAACCACACCACTGTGTATGTGCACAGTACTCCTAACAAGTCTGGTTTCAGTAGACAGGTAGTGCATTGATTTTATATGTTGCTAATATAACTCAAATACAGGTGAGAAATAATTAAAGAGAACAACAAAAAAAAAAACTCTGAGCATACAAGAGGAAAAACTTGTAAAGTGAAAGTCACCAAAAAAAAATTAGAGCTAATCCAACGCTGTCCATTAAAACTGGACTCTTTCCCAAGCTAAGATTGTTTTTTCAAAATTCAAGTAATTTTTAAGAGTACGGGTATGCCACTGCCAACTTTGACATTTTGTCTGAAAGTATGAAAACTGTGAGTGGAACTCATTGCTATAATGCCTCTTGGGAATTGACTTGTGTCCTCTTTCCATTTCTACCAAGTTCATTCACAGGCATAGCATTAACAGAAAAAAAAGAGCAAAGTTCTTTTATTTTAGAAGTACAGCCTCTGGAGTAACACATCTGGATTTTGTTGCATTGTTTTTAACAAATTCTCTCTAAATACACCTTCTTGTTGAAGACAGCTACCAGATATTAGCTACAGAGCCAATTTCCCTCCTACCTTGAAGAAATTCAGACCTCAAACTAAGATCCACCTTATGGGTCTTATCTTTACATCAGCCTACCAACACAAACATTTACTTATTTGCTGTCATCTTCTACACTGCTATAATCAAATCCTGTCTCCTGGCACAGAGGTGCAAGGTTGTCCTGACCTGGAGTTTGGCTGTCTGTGTCTGTAGGGCAGTATTGTGCTCCTGAAGGAAGACATTTTGCTTCTGTAGTGTCAGGATTTGATTGTTGAAGGAGACATTCTGTGTTTCCAAATGCTTTAGCTGTTCTTTAAGGAGCTGCTTCTCAGTATGCAGGGCTGCGTTCTGAAAGAGAGATGACATTGAAGGGGTGACAGGAAGAAAAGAAACAGCTGTTCTGATCATCTGGAGTCCTATCAAAGATAAGAACCAATTGGTGATGACCATTCTGAAACAAACATGCAAAAGCAAACTCTTCCCAGCATTAAATGAAGGTAGGACAGATGTTATACATGGGATCAATCTCTGCAAAGGAACACGAGACATATGAAGCATTTAAGTCCCACGCAGTCCTAGGAGACTCCCAACGGATTTACGGCTTAGGTGCTCCAGAAAACCCACCAGATTCCTTTAAGCTCAAAAATTTGGTTTCCAGGAATCCATTCCCGATCGCAAGAGAAGTCTATGAGCTAAGAGGAAACAGGAGAAGGCTTACATTCCTTTCCAGTTCAATTGCCCTGTCCTTCAGTTTCAGCAGCTCTATGGTAGCCTCTTCATGTCCCATTTCCAATTTCTCATTCATTGGCTGGTTGGGAATGAGTTCCTCTGCTGAACATCTCAGTGAATTCTGGTCATACTGCCCATCCTGTTGAGTCTGCTTTAGTGCATCAAAGTCCTTCTTCATCTACAAAGCCAACAAGTAACAACCTTCAACACTGAGTGAACTGGGATTATATATTAATAAGGAAGGGATATGATGCTTCTCTCTTGCACTGTACAGACTTTCAAAGTTTCAACAACACTCACTGCACAGATGGGGAAACTGAGACACAGAGAAGCAGAAAAATCTATATCTCTTGGCCTCCAGTCAGGTGCCCTTTGACTCAAGGTCATTGTCACCTAACAAATAGGTTGTTCTTATGTGAAATGTTTCAACTGCAGCCTTCCTCAGCCTATGTTTCCACTAAACAAGGCAGAAAAACAAGACCATGGCAATGAAAAAAACCCCATGGGAAAACAGATCTGCAAAGAGCGATTATGCAAAAAACCCCTCCTGCTGTGTCCCTAGTCTCAATTTTTTTATGAATTTGGTGTCATTATACAGAAAGGGACAAGAAAAGGCAGTCCAGTCAAAAAAGGTTCTTGGGAAGCATGTGTATGGGGAGGGGCAGACAGAGTCAGCCTGTTCTTAAAAACAAAACAAGAAACCACACAGAAACTCCTCAAAACAACCCCAAACATGTGAATGTGCAGAACTGCAATGCGAACGATTAAAAGTCAGTTAACCTCTTACCATATTTAGATCGTTCTGTAACTGCTGGTTCAAGTTCAGAGAGTCTTTCACTTGAGCTTCCAGCATTGCAATCTTTTCCTCTTTCAAAGCTAGTGTTGATTTTAGTGCTGACTCAGTTTTGCTCTCCAAAACCTTGTATTTTCTGAAAAACACGAAAACAGCTCTCCAATTCTGCCACGAGGATATGAGCCACCATCTATACAGCAGACTTCACCTTCACCCATTCCAAATCTCACTACATATTAAATTACATGTGCTTTATTCTTCAGGAAAATTATTCCCTCTACTGCTGCAGATTGTTACTGATAGATTATAGCTGGAGAAGTTGCTTTTGGAAAATCCAGTCAATTTTAAGAGGTAACACCAGCATGGTTCTATAGAAATACCAAAGAGTTACATAACTTGAAAAAAAAAGTTTTTCTCTTTTTGCCCTAATTACTTTACAGAAATTTCTTCTCATGACTCTTTTTATATTCTTGACAAGGAGAAAAATTCACAGTCTAAAGACTCCTATGAGGTGGGTATGTTTCTCTAATTAGGTCTTACCAAGAAGCCTATATACACATGGGTGGTTGTGTTGGGGTTTTCTTTGTTCATCACTGTAGGACTTGCAAAGGAATTTCTTGCAATCAGGAATTTCTTAGGCAGCATCCATGTTTATGTTAACAGGTGGCTAGATCACCAATTACATGGATTAATGATAGACACTGTTGAATAGACACTGTTCTTACTTGTAAAGAGACTATTAAAAAAATACATGCTAAAATAGCTACTCTGCTGGGGAGTACAGTGAAACTGTAGTAACACTGCTAGCATGGAGAGAGAAAATAACATTTCTTCCTTCCAACCAAGAAAACAATTTGCAAAACCTACAGTACACTGCCAAGCTTGCCTCAGAAAAATGCAGTTTATATCCAAAATTGTTACAGGCAATTGGAACAAGACAGATGAGAACCAAAAAAGAAAGGCAAAGGGCTTGAGTTAGGCTGAGCTCAAAAGTGACTAGCAAAGTTCAGCTTCCTTACGTGTCACCATTGCCATTGTCATCCTCTAGTAGCAGCTCTTTGTTCAATCCTATCTTCTCCAGTTCCTGGCTCAGTTTGTCTAGCTCACTAGACAACTGTTGACTCTTCAGCTTCTCCAGGACCAAATCCTGTAACAGCACTAACATGATTAGTTGCTATGCAAAGGGTGGTGATAATTATCCAGCAATATATATTTTTTTTTTAAAGTACTGAAAAAGTCATAGGATAAAATCCTAGTTTCAAGCAGGTCAGCTAAAATTCTTCATCAGTGACAGCTGAAAGCAGAATTAAAATGATTGTTTTTATTTATAGGTTACTTGAAATAAATCTGTAGAATGCTTCTTTCGGCCTTTGTCTCACTCACTGTACTGAATTACTTTGGCCAACACTGGCATCATGCCCACCTGCCAAAAGAAGGAATGTGTGTGGGCCAGGAGACATCCCATCTTTGTGTCACAGAGAGATGTGTGCAGGGCAGGGGACACCAGCAGAGGGAGTTCCCACCTCTAAGCTAAGACAAAAAGCCCTGTCAGCACTGGCATATACACAGAGGAGTGACAGGACTTCAGGATGAAAGTTTCCTGAGATAATACAGCTAAGATGGTATTTTCAAGGGACTTGGTAACAGGGTCAATAGTGAATAGCACACTGAGTTTCTGAGATATGGTGAATTACTGCCCAAAATTTAAAAAGCATATTTACATTGTAGTCCAAGAAACAGGACAGCTCTGGAGACTAGAGAGACTGGTCACTTATTCTGGTATCTACTGGTGCAGTCTGGTTCCATTTGGGTTTCTTTGGGAAGAAACTTAAGCAGAATCTGACAAGGAAGTCATACAAGGGGGAGAGTTGATGGAGCTGTAGCAGAAGGTATATTGGGACAGTGATTAACTGTTATGCCAGTGAGTAGTCTGTGTGGAAATGGCCTGAGAAGACATAATACCAGCCTGCATTTCTGTAAGGAACAAATTATTTTTGGGGCATGGCTAAGTGCTAAGATCCCTACCATTCAAAATTCTCTGAAATACAAATGTACCATAGAGATCTACACTGTTCATGTTTTTTGCTTAAAGTTTTCTTAAACAGTGCAGAAAGAAAGAACAACAAAGTTACTGAAGCACTGCAAGTAAAGAAAAAAAAGATTATCCTGAATATCAAACAGAAGCAAGAATAAAATCTTTAAAAATACTTGGTTAAACTGTAGGTATTCAATAGTCCTCTGATAGCACAAATTTAGTCATGCATTCATTCACATGGCAAGGAAAAAAAGGTATGGTTTTAGGTCAGTGCCAGTCCAATGGTCTGTAAATAGGTCCTTTCAATATCCATGAACTCCTTCTGCAGAATCTATAGAAAGTAAATAAGGAAAAGAAGATGGGTCTACACCACTGGAAATTTGCAAAAGCCTGAGAAGGGAAAGATTAAAAAGAAGCCTTCTCAGAAATGCTACTATTTGCTTTATTTTTAAGGAAAGTTGGATATAAACATATCTTGGGACTGTTTCAAATGTTTCTGATAAGACTTTATTTATTCTTCTCAAAATTAAACTAATGCTTCAAAAACTAAAATAAAACTAAACCTTCAAATAAGTAATTGCTTACTGCATTAGTCTTGCTAAATTTACTTATTTCACTGAGCTACTGCAGCACAATCCTTTTTCCTTTTAATGTTCTTTCACGGAAAACCTGTTTTTGGCAGGACATCAGCAGCTGGGACAGGCAATGAGAGCAAGTTGCAATAACCTGAATCTGCTCATATAATGAGTGTCAGGTTCTAGTACACACATCATTAGACTGCCAATGTCCTAATGCTTGGTAAGGGAACAGAGCCTGCTACTTGGCACACTCTCACTCAGCAGGGAAGCTTCTGGGGAAAAACACTGTAAGGAGCTGTAAAGCAGAAACCTGGTGCAGCTGTTACTGAAAGGGTTAGGTTGGCCATCTGGGATGGTTCTTGTCTGTCTCAGAACAGGGATGTCAATGGGTCCTCAACAAGTGCTCTAACTTCTAGGCTTGAGATTCAATCTCCCCTACTGAAGCTCTCATGTTAGCAAACAATTTTGTGGTCACAGGGTTAGAGAAAGTACCAAAGTCTTTGGTTTACACACACCACTTGGGAGCTGTGTTAAAACCTTATTCTGCATGAAAAAAGATGTCATTTTGAGACTGTGTTGTGGGCACAAAGCAGTACATTGCAGTTTTTGGCACGTTCCATTCCCCAAGGCAACACTATCCAGTGATGGCTGTTAAGGCTGTGAAGATCTCCCATGGGACAGATGTCTCAGGTACCTCACAGAGCTGAAAAAAAAATAGCATCATACAACCCAGTAGAATTATTTTGCTTACCTCTCTCAATGTAGCTAGTGTTCTCTTATCAATTGTCACTTGCTTTAGGAGATCTTTATTGTCCTTTTCAAATTCTTTCAGCTTAGTAGATGAATCTCTGAATCGAGCAATTTCTTTTTCTAGTGTCTTGTTTTCTTTCTCAGCAACTGCCAACTTTACTGTACTATCATCCAAAATAGCATCTTTCAGCTCCACTTGCTGCCAAAGCCGTTTTGTTTCTTTCTCTAGCATTTTTTTGTCTTTCTCAAGTTGAGACACTTCTTGTTCTAGGGCTTTGTTCTCCTTTTCTAACCTCTCTAGTCGTTTGGCAGAAACCTTTAGCTCCTCAAGGTTTCTCTGGAGGACCTGATTTTCACTCTCCATTCCCTGTACTTCTTTTTCTAACTCTTGGATCTTTTTATTGCTGTTCTCCACAATTTGCTGAAGTCTCTGGTTTTCAGAGTTGACACTCTGATAGCTTAGCTCCAGTCTCTCTGACTTCTTGTTCATTGCTTTTAACATTTCCACATTCTTTCTTAAGTCCTCTTTCTCCCTCTCCAAGTCTTTATTTTCTGCTTCTATTTGTGCCATTTTTGTGCTGGTAAATCTCATGGTCTCCACCACTCTTCTAAGCTCCAGATTTTCTTCATCCAATTGCTTGTTGTCCCTTTCCAGGTCCCCAAGCCGGATGGAAATATTCTGCAGTGTGTCCAAGGATTTTCTTAGCTTCCTATTTTCCACTTCTAGATCCCCATTCTCCTGCTCAAGAACTTCCACTTTTTCTGTCACTATTTTCATCACTGCTGCCTTCTTTGTGAGCTGTTCATTCTCCCTCTCCAGCCGGTGGAGTTCTTTTTCCATTTCTTCCACTCTTTCCACTTTTTCTCTAACTTGGTCAAAATCCTTTTGCAACTGTTTCTTCTCAAATTCCAGCTTGCTCAGTTTGCTACTTGTCTCAGTAACTGTTTCATGAAGGATTTTGTTCTCTTTTTCAATATCTTTCACTCTTGCCTCGCTGCTCACTTGTGATCTTTGTCTCAGGGATAAGACGACTTGATTAAGGTGATCATTTTCTTGTTTAAGGTCCTGTATCTACATAAACAGTCATGAAAACGTTACTCATCTACCTTAGAAATGCAGTACAAATTAGTCCTAAAGAAGATATATGATTGTTAACAAAACCATATCCATTTAATCCAAGACAAATTTCTCAACAGTTTTCCCAGACTATAACCAAGAACCCAAACTACTGAAAAAACTTGTTACCTCTGGTAACCCATGATTTTCATAAATTGAAAATAGTGCTATATTCCTGCTACCAGCTAAGACAGCTGAGGAAGAAGGAGAAAGGAGATAGAAAACCTTCAAAGAACACTTGGAGAACATGCTTTCTTACAAATCATTCTTAATAAAGGTTATCTTTCTGCCCAGGTTTACCTTCATCTTTGGGATCTGAAGACTGAAATTATCTTTGACAAAGTGTCAGAAAGCTCAGAATGCTTGAAAATGTAGAGCAGTTACAGATGTCATTAAGGACACACTTTCTGTAAGGACAGTACATTTATCCCACTGGTCAAGTTTCAGCTAATGCAACTGTAATTTAGACTGCAATTCGTATTCGATTCTTATACCAGACAACAGTCACAGAAATCAAAAGTACTTACACTTGAAAAAATCCAAATCTGCCCCTTTCCGACAATTGAGGATATTTCTGGTTTTACTTTCTGCCCTACCTTCGAGGCATTTATTAATTCTTGCCACAGAGAGTTTATACTTGTTTTAACTGAAATGTAAGACCTTGTTGGCAAAGTGAAGTTTCCCAGGGAAAAGTCTGGGTAAGAATCCCTCAAGATGAAAAGCACTACACGAATAAGACATTTTTCTATTTAATCTTCACCTCACAAAAACTTAGAGTAAATTTTAATACAGGTTGAGAATATTCAGACCAGTCTCTAATGATCTGTGTCTGTGTTTTCTTCATTAGTCAAATTAATACAGATGATACCTTGCACAAACCTGTAACAAGAGAGTTTCCAGGCATTGCACATGAACTGCAGCACAGCAGCAAAAACTGAGGGGTATTTAAAATATCAATCCAGAAGACATAAATGCTTTCTCAGCATCTTTTTTAAACAGGGCAAAAAAGGCTGCCTGGTTAAAAAACCTCAACTGAACTGATCAGGTCATACAGCTGGCAAAAGACCAATCTTCTGCAATAAAATGGGGATTTATTTGCACATCCTAAAACCAGCTGGTATTCCATTTAGTAAGATCCAGGGGCTTTTTTCCTCAAAGAGGGAAGATCTGTCCTTATAAATAGGACAGATTCCCTTATGGTAACAAGAGCAGTAATTAGCAAAACATGCTGGGCCTTTTCACTTGAAGAAGCCTTTAACCTATATTTGAACGAGTTCAACCTGCACTTAATAGTTCTCAAATTGCTCTATCTCCCTGAGAGAACCTCATGCTCTAAATGACATCACTAAATTACCACTACTGAGCATATGCTGTTAAATTATATTTGTGAAATTTGCACCTGTCTGTCTTTGTCAGCTTTTAGAGTCTCCATGACGACTTGTAGCTGCTCTTTATCTTTTATCAGCTCCTCACTCAAGGTTTCCAAATCTTGATTACTTTGCTTCTCTTTTTCAATTTGATTTTGCAACTTCTCAATCTGTGTGGAGAGAACACAGAAAACCACATCATCCACAGTTTGACACAAGGACTGTTCGCACTTTTCAGTTATTTTGAAGACCAGAGAGATATGAGATGGGGACTATGGCTAAAAGATTAAATCCTTCCCTTTTGCAGCTTGCCAGTCTCAGAGGAGGAAAGGGACTGTTTTGTTTTTCTCACAGTGCCTAGAATCTCCTTCATGCCTATTAAGATCAGAACATATAAGGTATAGCAGTAAAAAATGCTTTGTTCACCTGTCTGCCTGAATGCTCTGTTGTGCTCCTGTCAGCAGTGATTAAGATTCTGGTACTCACCTTTCTGAGGGTCTTGCCTCCTCCTACCCTCTCCATTACTGATGGTCTTACTCTATCAGTGAATGCAGAGAAAGTTATTAGGCCACTTCAGTGAGCAACAGCATTAAAAAAACCAAAACACCAACCTAAAACAGTAATGGAGGAAAAGCAGTAAAGCACTGGAGTTACCAAGTTTACCTTCCCTCTCCCTGTGTTCTGTCGGCCCTCTTTTCCCCAGTGGGTGACAATGCTGGATTTGAATGATCTGTGAATAAGGCTCCAGTCCTACAGTGAATGATGTTTTCATACTCGCTCCTTTTTAAAGTTGCACTCATAATGCACGAAGAACTGAAAAGCAGTAAATCTTCAGTATGTAGAACCCAGAGGCTCAGAGAGCTAGGCTAGGCTCCCCAAGTCAGGAAGTGCTCCTTTTTAAGCTTGTAAAGTATTGTGAGCACCTACAGCTCTGCACAAGTATCAGCTCATTTTTGTGTTGGTATTACGAATTCTGTCAACAGTGAAAATGTCAGTGAAAGAGGTATTAGACATAACTTAAAAGTGGGAAATAGCTGGAGGCTGGGCTCTGCCTATGTCAACACGCGCCTCATTATAGGAAGTGTTTAAACAAGCAGGGGCTGCCCAGATTGGAGATAAGGAGGGCTTAACAGTTAGAAATGTAACCATGCTGAGGTTCATGGGTCTCAAAGGAGCTGTACAGAGAAAGCTGGAACAAACTCAGTAGCTCAGCAATAGGTAATCTTCATTTGCACTTCCCAGAAAACTGGAGGCAAGTAAGACATTACTGTTTACAGCTTATTTCAGTAAGTCAGAAAGGCAGAGAAAACAGACGGGTACTTGGACTGCTACTACTTGACTGTGCCCAAAAGGAAGGTTTTCTATTATTAGCTCCTCTGAAAACCTTGCAAGAAAGGAAAAAAAGATATATGTGACTTTTCCTTCATAACATCTCCTATTGTACTACCTGAATAATCCTATTTTGGCAACATGATGCTTCTAAGCACTAGATCAGTTGACAGACAACCATACTCGAACAAAAACTTTTGGAAGTCCCAGAGAGTGGATGAAGTCTCAGCCCAGTTAAATGACTTTAGGGAGGCAAGATTTTACTATGGGTATCTCAGGAAAATTGCAAAAAAAACCCCAAGGGCCCACAACATTTAAGAAAAACACTTCTTTATCTTTTGTCCTCTGACTTATACATACTTGACTTTAACAGTCCTCAAGAACTGTTATACTTTCCCCTGCCTACTGTAGTAACCATTTTGCAATGAATCGCAGAGACTTTGCCTATTATTTTCCCTCTCCCCTTTGCACACCCTGCTGTGGACATGGGTACCCTCTAATTGAGAGGATACACGTGTGAGAGAAGTAAAAAACATATTTGAGAAAGGCAAGATTAAAACAAATTCAAACATCTCAAATCAAGATTATTTTACATATGATGTATCAGGTCTCTGTAAACTGACACTCATTGTCTTGCACAGACAGAATGCTGTCTACCAATTTTTTTTCCAAAATTTTCCTGAATGGGAGGTGAAGTCCTTCAACTTGACTGGCCTGTGGTATTCAGTCAGCAGCTCCTATCATATTCTGTGTTTTTCTGGTGAAGATTTCAAGCATTTTACTTTCTCTTAACAACAGTATTTTTACCTGCTATTTTTTTCTTAATTGGTTTGATATATGTGGTGTCCTCTTTTCACCACACAGGCATTCCCCACTACTGGTTTTTGTCTTACAGAACTGCCAGACCTGTAGGTGACCCCACCATGTCAATGCATTCATCATCATCAAAAACATCAGACTAATTCTGGAATCACAACTGTTGGCACCAATACAGTGCCATAACGGGAGGTGCCCACAGGAATCTGCCTGGGGCAAAGCCAAAGGTTGATCACAGTTGTTCAAGTGACTTACATTGCTGTACACCACAGGTATCTGCTGAGTGCCTTCTATGCCTCAGTCTCAAATTTTAAGCATGTAAATCAGAGCAGGATCAAATTACTTATACCCAACAGGTCATAAATGGAAGTGTGGAAAGAAGATTACAGTGAACTGAACTTGTGCAGTTTTCCTTGTTCACAAAGGAATGACAAGAAGCAGAACTGGTCTCTACTTGGCAAATGAATCTCTCCAGAAGATGGAATGATCCAGTGAGGGATACCTGTTTTCTCTGGCAGAGAAATGGGCACTCTGTTTGTTACAATCAGGTAATCCACAACCAGCATTTCTCCCCTTGTCCTTTAAAGCATTCAGTTAGTTCATAGGTAAGCCAAACAGAACAGAAATCTTTGCATCAATGTCTCACACACACAGGTTACAGCAGTAATGGGAAAAGGAGAAATGAGCCTTATATTCTGGATAGTTTATCAAATTGTGTGGAATGTGGAAAAATTTGACATGAAAATTGTTTTATACTTAGAGTAGCAAGCATTCTCTTTCCTCAGCAGCACATGGCTCAATTAATCATATTTGAGGACTCAAGTTACTGGTCAGACATAAATAAGGCTAGTAGCTGGAGGTGAACTGAGCAGTGCATTTCACAAGGACAAGCACTGAGCTGGCTTTTGAGCTAAATGTAATCACAGTTAATAACAGAGTGCAACACACATATATATAAGTAAATTTACAAAGTGATGACCAGCATGTTACAAAGACTAGAAGAAACAAGATCTTTGCAGAGAGAGAGACACGCATGAGAGAATTTATAACAGCCAAAAGGACAAGACAAAGAAAAAGCTGATGCAGGACTCTGGACAGCAAGAAAGACATTTAAAAAATAATAACCTGAATTCACCTGTGTGATTTATTTGCCTCACATGGAAATATTATTAAAACTTTCAAAAACCAAAAATAGTTCAATGTGACCACAGATTTCTTGCCTAATAGTGACTGCCATAAGACAACAAAATGGGACACAACAGTACAATCTGACAGGGCAAACAGGCACCAAAAAACACTTATGCTTACAATGATGTAGGTAAGTAGGCAGTGGAGTAGAAGGCAACAGAATACAAATATTAAAACTTAATTGCATTAGAATGCGCTTAAATAGATGGGCCCAAAAAAATGCTCAGTCTTATGGGGAACATGGGTGATTTCCCTGCAATCCCTCATCATTCAGGAATGCTGTGCAGCCCTTCGTGCACTGCGTTTAAAAACCGAAGAGCTCTGTTCCTGTGAGCAAATTACCTTTTTGCTAAGCTGTTGATTTTCCTTTTCCAGTTCCACAAACTTTAGGCTGCTCTCTCTGGAGGTCAGGGATGCATCTCTCAGCTCTTGGATTGTGTTCTGCAAGCTCTGATTATCCTTCTCTAGCTTCAGTATGCGACTCGAAGCACATTCATTCAACTCAAACACAAAGGACTTTCTGGCTGTTAAAACATGAGAATCAGAAGGTGGCACTAATCAATTCACAAACATCTCCTTCCGAGGTGTGTAAGATTCACTTGTAGGAAGATTACTGCAGTCAGATTATTCTAATTTCAACTTGACTGCTAAATAAACACTTTGTTAAAAACAGAACCCATTTTCACAGATAACCATTAAGACTTCTAATAAATAGGGTAGTATCTGAACAGACAACCATCTGAACAGACAGCCATCTATAAAGTTACTTACTTTCCTAACTCTTCTTAAATTTTCTTTAGTCATGTTAGCAGTGTGTTAGTAGCAAAATATACTTTGATACCAACTCATACTTTCATCAGAGAAAATAAACTGAGGTAAAAAGTAAACCACTGCAAAGTGTTTGCTGAAACAGGAAGATCACAGAATCACGGAATATGCTGAGTTGGAAGGGACCCACAAGGATCACTGAGTCCAACTCCTGGCCCTGCACAGGACCATCCTCAAGAGTCACACCATGTGCCCGAGAGCATTGTCCAAACACTTCTTGAACTCTGTCAGGCTTGGTGCTGTCACCACTTCCCTGGGGAGCCTGTTCCAGTGCCCAACCACCCTCTGGGTGAAGAACCTCTTTCTAATAGCCACCCTAAACCTCCCCTGAAAGAACTTCAGGCCATTCCCTCAGTGCTGTCACTGGTCACCAGAGACACCCCTCCTCTTCCCCTCACGAGAAAGTTGTAGAGTACAATGAGGTCTCTCCTCAGTCTCCTCCAGGTTGAACAGACCAAGTGCCCTCAGCTGCTCCTCATACAGCTTTGCCTCAAGGCCCTTCACCATCTTTGTTGTCCACCTTTGGAAAAGAGCTAGTGAAAACTCAGATATTCAGTCATATTTAGTCACAGAAAAATTCTTACAAAAGGAGAATTCCATTGCTTATCTTCACAGCTACTTCATCAAAAATATGCTGAATCAGGGAAGATAATTTAGTATCAGGTATCCAGGTACAGGACATCCAACAGAATGCTGATCAGAGAGGTGTCTGAAGTCGAAATTTCAGAACTGACAAAATTTATGCAAGTTTTACAACAGAGATGTTATTCTACTCTAAATGTTTGTAGATCAAAAGTCTCAGTACCTCTCAGCCTTAAAATCCACCACCCAAGCCTCACTGTTCTGTTTATTTCTCTGCTCAGCATTTGAATAATTACAAGAGTAAACTTCTGTTTCCCATGGAATAATTGCTGCCCATCACCTCAAACCCACATTTCACATGAAACTGACTTTAACATTGTCTTTAAGTCTAAGAAAATTAATGACTCCTAAATAATCAGCAGTATTACATACAGCACACTGAACACCTTAAACTGGCAAATTTCTGAAATGGTAAAATCCTATTTGTCTCTTATAGAGCATCAACTGGAGAATTTTGGTCAAGTGAAGACTCAAATAGTAAACATTAACTAAATACTCCAGTTAAGTTCTGTTCTGAAGCAAAGTCCATCTAAATTACTTTTTCCCATACTTATTTTTTAAATTATTTTGAATAAAATATTCCAAACAATCCAGTAAAATCTTCTGCTACCTGTCATCCTTGCAGACTCAACTTGAAATCCAAGAACAGGAGATTTTCCAAAAGGGCTTTCAAGTCTGGCTATATTTCTACAAACAAGTTGCATTCAGAACAGCAACATGCATTGAAATGGAGCTTCTTAAGGAGAATTACTGTAAAAGTAGAACAGGCATTTCCCTGAAATAATTTAAAAGCTCAAAGTTTAATGAGTTTTGTTTTTTTAAAATTTGGGCTTCCTTCACTACTTTTTTTTTTCTACTGAGTATAAAAGTCTACTTATGTTCTCAGTTCCTCTTATTCTTTTTCTTTGGTTAATCAGAGTTTCTGAAGCTCCAGTGCTGTGAAGGAACCTCATCTTTTTCATGTTTTTTAAATCCCTCGAGCAAATTTTGAAAGTTATGTTTGACAGACATTAATAAATAAGAGGTAACAAAATAAAACTAGCATCCTTCTATTACATCACTAGTGAAACCAAATCAGGAAGAGGGCAAAACTTGGTATTTTAAACAGGCCAGAAAATTTAATATTTTTACGTTTTCCTGAAATACTCTTTAACAAAATCTGTAAGCTTTGAGAGAACTGTGTTTTTGTCCCCCTGACTAATACAATAAGCAATATCCTTGATTACATATAAGGAGCAATAGAGTGCCATTCTCTTCTCAGGCTAATATAACCTGCTTTGCAAGATTATTATTTAGAAGTAACAATTAACTAGCCATTAATCTTAGTGAAGAGAATTAGGATCCTAGACAGCAAGATTTAAGAATTGGTGTCAGGCACACACTCAGTTGTTTTACAAAATAAAACTATTCTAGACAGTTTTACTGAAAACTTAACATCTCCTTACTCTAATTTATTCCTTTGTCTTCAAGTTAAACTGTTCCTGGTACACAAAGCCAAACATGCAAGTCTTAGTAGAAGTAAGGTGAGTACTCAATAAAAGCTGCATATTGAATTAAGGGGAAATAGCTTGTATTCCCCAAGGTCCATTTAGCATTGTTATTTAGGCAGCTATAATAGACAGAATGAATGTTAAACACAGAAACCAATGGTAAAACCTGTCTAGTGAAGAAAGAATTAGTTATGTTTGTGATAGTTACGGAAATCAAATCAACCATTCAAAGAAAAAAATCAGCCAGTTATTTTAACTGTACACATTTTTCAATATCTAGTAAAAATAAATGACTTCAGCATACACTACTTCCTGGGACTTAAAGACCAGTTAATTGTCTGTACTAATTGTACTAAAGAATACTAAAGATCACAGACTCCTCCCAACCATTCAGTTAGAAATATCCAGTGTGACATTTCTGCTGTGTCATTTACAAAGCTTTATTTTTTTTAAATTGTTATTTTACTTAAAAGTTACTCTCTCAGGGATGAACAAAAAGGAAAATATTTTGATGCTTTCATCAAAAGAAAATAAAATAAAGTAGAGGAGTATGTTTCAGAAGTTGCAGAAAACTACGATCAAAGTCAAGTGGCTGAATGAGGGAAGTTCTCCAACCTTGGACTCAACTTCTGATCCCACCTTCAGTAAACCAACCTGTCTATTCTGAAACAGACCACAAACACAACAGCTGCCCCAGCTGGTACTCACTATCTGCAAGATCTGTGCTTTTAGACAGTTGTTCTAGTTCCCAGCCTAGGTGTGCAGACTCGTTCATGCTCTGTTTCTGTGCAATCTCCAAGACCATGTTCTCCTCCAGCAGCTCTTCAATTCTCTTCTTGTCCGTGTCCCGGTCCTGTGCAAGACACACATGAATGAAAATGCGTGTTCAGCTTATCTGTAAGACTCTGGGTTAACAGCTACTTGCACAACATACACTGAGGGTAGAAGAATCTCCTAAAACATTGTATTTTTATACTGAAATACATGTACAGCATTAAATGTTTGCTATGGGCTACTATATATGCCACAGAATGTAGAGCAGAGGCACCCAAGTGGCCCTGTTTAAAGTCAGGGAGAGTGATGGCAATGAGAACCTACCAGGTGATGACAGGGCCAGTACAAGCCAGGACTAGTAAGGCAGGCTGGGTTCAAGCTGTCTCCAGAGCTAAGCTCTTCAAAAACATGTAGCATCATGCACTGACATCCTGGAAACTCTGCAGATAGAACCTTGAATTCTCCTGAGCTTCAACTCATCACATCAAATTTGGATGCAGTCATATGGACTGGCAAGTAACATCTGCCTCATAATTTGAGTTTTAACTCCAGGAAACAGACCTGGAGAATGAATCTATTGTTGCTTCTTGTGAACTATTTGGGCCGTTCACATTTGTGAGAGCTGAAGTGATGCCTCCCACTTCAAGGGAAAATTGTTCCCAAATTTTCAGATAGCATTACACAAAAATTCATCAAGTCACTCAGAAAAGCATTGTTCAAAATCTTCATCCACTTTGGAAAAGCTGAGTGTAACATGAGCCTTTTAATGCCCTGAATCATAACATCATAGAATGGCTTGGGATGGAAGGGACCTTAAAGATCATCTTATTCCAACCCCCCCTGCCATGGGAAGGGACAACTCCCACTAGACCACACTAGTTTGAAGACCCATCCAACCTGGTCTTGAGCACTTTTAGGGATAGGGTATGCACAACTTCTCTGGGTAACCTATTCTGGTGCCTCATCACTCTCACAGTAAAGGATTTCTTCCTAACATGTAATCTAAACCTACTCTCTTTCAGTTTGAAGCCATTCCCCCTTGCCCTGTCACTATATGACCTTTTAAAAAGTCCCTCTCCCTCTTTCTTGTAGGCTCCCTTCAGGTACTAGAGGTCATAGTTAGGTAACTCTGGAGCCTTTGTTTCTCTAGGCTGAACAAGCCCAACTCCCCCAGTCTTCCCTCACAGAAGTGCTTCATCCCTCTAATCAACTTGGTGTCCCTTCCCTGGATTTGTTCCAACACGTCCATGTCCTTCCTGTGCTGCTGGATCCAGAGCTGGATGCAGCACTCCAGGTGGGGTCTCACCAGAAGGAAGAACCCCCTCCCTTGACCTGCTGGCCTCACTGCTTTTGATGCAGCCCAGGACAAATTTGGCTTTCTGGGCTGCAAGTGCACATGGCAAGCTCATGTCCACCCTCTCATCCACCAGCACCCTTCTCAGCAGGGCTGCTCTCTAGCCCTTTATCCCACAGCCTGGACCGATATTGGGGGTTGCCCCGACCCAGGTGCAGCACCTTGCACTTGGTCTTGTTAAACTGCATGAGATTCCCATGGCCTACTTCTCAAGCTTGTCCAGGTCCCTCTGGATGGCATCCTGTCCTTCAGGAGAGTGAACTGCACCACTCAGCTTGGTGTCATCTGCAAATCTGCTGACAGTGCACTCGATCCCTTTATCTAAACCATTAAAGAAGATATTAAATAACACTGGTCTCAGTATGGACCCCTGAAGGACACCACTTGTAACTGAAGTCCATTGGGATTATAACATTAACCCCACACAGCATCCTCAACATCTTTGTAAGGAGAGAGAAGGACTTAACTAAAATACAAGAGATGAAAAAGTATTTACTACTTCTAGTGGCATTATAAAATCCAATGTTACTTTTCTTTGTAGACAATAATCTCCCACTTCTTACTTTTCTTTGTCATGAAGCAATAAGTCATATCTCTGATTTACACAGAAAGAGATTTTGGAATTTTGGGTCTTTGACACTTGGTAGTGTGTTCAGAAAGACTCTGTAATGGCTGGGGATTTTGTTTCCAACGAGAAAGATCATTTACTACAGTAGAGTTCATTTCCTACATCTAAGAGATTTCTACTTAACTAACAGATTTTAGTATCTCCATTATCAATACATACAAAAGCAATCTGTATTTTAAAATTCTGATGTACCTTCCGGCATAAAATTAAATTCAGTCTCACGCAAAGTAGCACTGGCACTTTTTACACTGTTAACATTGAAATATTTCAAGAATTCACGTACACAAGTCTAACCTAAAAAACTCTTTAAAAGCACTGCTGATTTATTTGCCTGTCCCCACCGGTTTCTGTGACTTGATTCTGTAACCTAGCATAAAAACAGAAGTTCAAAACTTAGCATAATGAAAAAGAAAGTGCATACCAGCTCTACATCATGAAGTTTGGATTTCAACTGCAAATTTTCCTTCTCTAATTCATGCAGTTTATCACCACGAGCTCTTGCCAATGTTAGCTGTTCTTCTAGCATGGCCTTTGTTTCAATTAATACAATGTTATCCTCTCTTAATTCCTAGGGAAAAAAGCAACAACGTTAATTTCTTACTTAATTTTCATAACTAAGTGATTTTCATAAACTGACATTGCAAAACACAAGAAAGAAATCTGACATGTTTCTCTGTTTCATAAAGATTTTTACCTGATATTGTAATGGGAGATGATAGCATGTTTCATTAACTGTGGGCCATTAATGCAGGTAAATCTAATATTTCTTGTTGGTTTTTTTCCTGAATTTTAGAAGTTTAATGGAGTTCCTTTTGCTTTATATGAGGCTAGATCAAGAGGTGCACCAAAGAGATTTAAGACAGAGAAGAGTAGCTATTCAATTCCAATTCCACTGTTACAGTACCAACTGTTTAGCCAACTTATTGTAGTCCCCTGTTTACTCTGCTTCAAAATAAATTATTTACTTTCAAGGGATGCTACAGTGTACTCAAAACACGTTGGGGAACACTATCCATCAATACATACAACATCCACATTCCTGTTTCAGTACACTTCCGTGTAAATGTCTGAATAAGGTTCCTCCCTCTCATGAACAGAATTTTAGTTCACTTGAACAGAGGAAGTTGTTTTATATTTAACACTCCCTGCCATTTCCCTGCTAAACACATGAGCATTAACTGCACAAGCCATGTTGCTTACTCATTAGAGCTTTTGGATATGGTTTTACTCAGCAAAAGTTTGATTTATTATTTTACTGCAGTCACAGCATTGGAAAGAAGTTAATTATATCGCACTCTAAAGTTTCCTTGCAAACAACAAATGAAACTCTGTGCATTCAAGTATCTTATCTCTGGAAACATGAAATGTCCAAAGCGGAAGATCCCACCATGTATTCTTGGTCATGTTTTAAATACATGTATCAAATACATCTTATTTCAAACTACAATACTCCACGGCTAGCTTTTATTTTTGTTGATTCTCAGATAAGTATTGAGTCCAAGACAAATGTTCTATGGCAGGAACACACCGGCATTTAAAAGATTAAATGGATACAGTAAGAATTTTTCCCAAGAAGAGTTACAACCGGGCAAAAAGCAGATTATTTCATTCTCTAAAGAAACTTCCTTTTGTCATTCACTCCCTCCTCTACCTATCCCTTTTGCTACTCCAATGAAATATGCAAAAGCATAAAATGTACAAAGAGACAAAACACTTGACAAGTTTGTTCCTGGAAAAGTAATTACATTCAAAATGTAATGTCTCTGCTGACACCAGTGTTCACGTCTGCTCTCTCAGACCACAAACATCCAAACCAAGTAGATTCCTCAAAGATCATCAGGCATGAGCAAATCACTTTTGCTGCTTAGTCAGCAAGTACCTTCTCATTTTTTGGGATAGAATCAACCTTAAGAAGATTTTTGAGGCTCTGTTATAAAAACAAACAAACAAAAAAAAAACAACCAAGAAAAAGGAAAAGGACAGATGTAAAGAACAAGTTAACAGTGTCTGATGACAGTCACTTCCCCTGCCTTTTGATACCACAGGAGGCTATGATTTAAAAACCTTTCATAGCTAGTAATCTTAGTTTTTTGTTGCACCTTGATTGTATACAGCATAATGTAGAAAGTCTACCTTATGCAGAACCACACTACCCTTAATCTCTCAGTGGGTCAGCTACCAAACTGCAAATCATGAATGGAAAAGGTTTCCCTACTACAGTAGCATTTAAAGGACAAATATGTTAGTGCTTGTGAAGAGGTTCATCTTCAATTAAAATGTCTGACTATGCAAGTAACTAAAATAACAACAATACTGAAACACTAATGTTACAGAACCTGCATTTTGGGCCAAGTCTGATCTAAAGTGACCCTGGGTCACTTCAGGGTGGGCAAACTTAAAAGGCTGACACCAAACAGATGACAGACCAGAGGAAGCACATGGCACAGAAACTGCTGGGTGTTATGCAAGCTGTCAGAATACCTCTAATGAAACAGCAATGTGCCAAGAGTTTACTTTGCTAGATCATCACACTCAATCTGGACCACAGCCCTAAGAAGTAAGGTGGTGTCTGACCTCAAAACCATGACCTCAGAACTACCCATAAAATTGCCTACCAAGGAAGAACCAGTCATTTTATTGTCTCATCAAGAGTCAAGCCACGTGCCAAGTACATATACATATCCAGGCTCTGGTACAACCCACACATCAGTGGGAGCTGCAGTATATGGAAGACTGAAGCACTTCCCACTGAGCACCCAGGATGGGCAGTCATGCCAGTTCAAAGCAGTTCTGATGAAATCTTAAATTAGTAACCCGGTGGAAATGCCTACTATGACGAGTTTAACATTGCTCACTCACAGATCACCATGATCTGAGGTTGTCTAAATATCGAAAAGTCCATATAATTTAAATAATTAGTCCATGGGAGCTTTGTAGAGTTACAGCTCAAGGCCTGGAAAGTAAAGCTGTCCTAACTAAAACATGTCAGCACCTAACAACTCCCAGAAGTTGCTGGGATAACACAGTTGACCTAAAAATGTATCTGGCTACAAATCACACTTGTTAAGACTATCAGCAGGTAGTGGTCGTGGTACTGCTTCTGCTGGAATTAAGGTTTATTTTTAATTTAATTAACAAATTCACCAACATTATTTTGTAACTCTAAGTTCATTTTTAAATCAGCAACAAAACCAATTCAGCTGTGGATTTTTTTTAATACACTGAATATAATTCTGCTTTTCCAGTTTTTAAAATAAATTACATATTGTGGTTTGATGCCCTATCAACTGTAACTTGAAATAGCTTTAAGAATGTGCATTGTGCATTCAGATGGTTACAATTACCTGGAGGTAAGCAGTTGCACAATCAGAGTGTGTTGCTACTGGAAAACATTTTCAGAAACTACAGAAGCAATGAGATTGTTTAAATCTGAAAATAGAGAATTTGCACATGCATCCAGACCTAGTTCAACCCCTGACTTGAGGCAGTTCAGAAGCTGTCTCTACTAAGCCCTGACAGTTAACATCTTGTGACAATCAAACATTGCCTTCAACAGTCATATGAAAACATACAAGTGATGCTTTTGCTTTTGTTTTGTGGGTTTTTTTGTTTGTTTGTTTGTTTTTTAATTCACAGAGATTCCTCACATCATCCTGCATAGAAACTTGATTATGGTGAGAAGTAGGAAGATAGGGCAAGGCAACTGGTTTTAGAAAATAATCTAATCTCCTGTAGCAGCACAAGGTTCAATGGAGAGGAATGCCAGAAGGGAGCTTTACACTGCAGAGAAGCACTCCCTTGGAGGAGGCCCTGTGTTAAGCCTGCTCCTTAACATTCACAGTTGTGACCTCATTAAGCCACCCCAGCAGGAAGGCTCCAGAGCATGTTCATCTCCACGTTCCTTGAATGATGGTCCAACTAAAATGTTATTCCTGAACAATCTGTCAAGACAGACAGAGCAGGAAAACAACACACACTCCTAAAAGTATTACACTGACATAAACCTTGACTTGAATCTTTTGCACTTCTCCTGCAATAGCAGGAAGGAAAAAACATTTTAAATGCTCATTTAATAGCTTTCTGCATTGATGCACAACAGTAAACCCACTTTGTCTTCTCACTTACTGATTTGGCACTGCTTATTAACAACCTTATCAAGACCCTCTGAGCCCTAAGGTATCACATCACTGTAGAAAAGTGGCTGATGCTGTATACAACTACATTTTCACTGCTGTGCTCTGCATGATTCAGGTCTTAAAAGTTAGAGGTTAGGAAGGCAGCAGCAATCAGTAAATGCCATGAGATGAATCAGTACTGTACTGTCTAGTGGTAGAAATCTTTACCATGTTACATTCCTGAACAAATCTAAGCAGACACTGTACTGACCCCAGCCATTCATCCTTCTTTTGGAGGAGCAGAGGACTTGAGACAGATTCAACATAAAACTGAGGGGCCATGGAAAGTTGGACACTGGCTACCATGCACAGCCTTTGTGCTACTCCATGACCATAAAAAAACAGAATCATGCCCTGTGAAATCCTCTGCATGCATCAGCCTGAGATCAATGGAGTTTGCCTGCTGTTGCCACTGCTCAATGCTGGCAGTCCATGGCTGTGTCAAAACTTCATCAGTGATGGAAGAGGGCGTGGTGAGAATGTGAAACTCACTGGCTATTCTAGACCACAGAGCACCCTGCAGACAGTTGGGCAATCCTCTTGCATGTTAGAAAAGCTCAGCCTCTACAATAGCAACAACTTTTGCTAGAGGCCACCCTGTGGCTCCAAATTAGAAATGTGCCATATTAATGGGAAATATTCTTTGTCTCACAGCTGTATTTGTATTGGTTTTGGCTGGGCTAGAGCTACTTTTCTTCACAGTGGCTAGTATGGGGCTGTGTTTTGGATTTGTGCTGAACACAGAGTTGACAATAGAGAGATGTTTTTGTTATTGCTGAGTAGGGTTTACACAAAGCCAAGGCCTTTTCTGCTTTTTGTACTGCCACGCTGGCAAGGAAGTAGGGGGTGCATGGGAGGTTGAGAGGAGACATAGCTGGGACAGCTGACCCAAACTGACCAAAGGGATATTCCAGACCATATGACAACACGTTCAGTATATAAAATGGGTGGAAGAATGAGGGAGACATTTGCAGTGATGGTGTTTGTCTTCCTAAGTAACCGTTATGTGTGATAGGCCCTGCTCTTCTGGAGATGGCTGAACACCTGCCTGCCTGTGGGAAGCAGTAGATTAATTCCCTGTTTTTCTTTGCTCATGTGTGCAGATTTTGCTTTCCATATTAAATTGCCTTTATCTCAACCCTGAGTTTTCTGGCTTTTACCCTTCCAATTCTCTCCCTGATCCTACTGGTGGGGTAGTGAATGCGTGCCTGTGTGGGGCTTGGTTGCCAGCTGGGGTTAAACCACAACAGTATTCCAAGGGAGGTATTCCTGGAGAGCCAGGCCTCACCTCTGATGTTCAATAGTTTCACCAAAAACGGACAGGGTAGAAAAGGGAGCGAGGAAAGCTGGAAGAATTTGAAACTGAAGGACTCTTTACTGAACACTGTGCTAAGCAAGATCAGCATGCAGACAGCAGTGCATGAATCCACTGGCTCTAGGACAAGCAAGGAGGCTGAGAACTCAAGAACACAAATAGCTACTCCCCTGATCTCAGACGAAGATGACACTAAAAGCCCCTCTCCTAGCTCCAGCTAAATTATCTGAGCAGCAGGTAGAAGCTTGGTATCTCCAGTGCACAGTCAAAAGGTAAGAGCCAGGATGGCACGCTGATAGCTGGTGTGCCAGGACTTATTTGCCAGCTCGAGGGAGGAAAACAGAGAGAGACAGGGCTTCATACCCCCTTAATGTAAACTGGGAATTACCGAGAGGCAAGACAGGCTTTCGTAGTCTATTTACTACATTTAATAACCATTCATTTTAGTGAACCTATTCATAAGAAGCAGCAGCTAGCTGGACCCTTGGGTTAGAGAGGGAAAAGAAAAAAACCATCTACAAAGTAGAGTTTATAGAGCAGAAAAATAAGGTCTGTGTTCTCAGCCAGAGGCCTGGTAACATCACTCTTCTCCCTCAGACCTAGGATTTTATCTAATTTTATAGAGAGGCTGTCAATTACTGAACCTCCATTTGTTCAGCAAGTCTGGATATTTATTTCACTTTGGCTGAAGTGCTATGTATGTGTATTATTGAGGGTTTTGGTGTGAATGTCTCAAAGAACTGAAAGAACAGAAAGTAAGAGCAGTTTGACCTAAATTACAGCCATGCTGTAAGCAATAAATTGGGCTAGATGACCTCCAAGGTCCTTTCCAAGCTAATTCAGTTAATAATTCCAGAATGGGCATAGCTGCAGGTGACTAAGTTGAGTAAGTGACATTACTATTGGAACAAAGCCATACATTTCTCATTGACATACCCCACTCATGGCACTAGGGAAGACCCAAATTTTCTCTCCCTTCTACCCCAAGCAACAGTTGCAAAAAGGGGTGGCTAGCATTTGTCATCTGAGATAATCCTTAAAAATGCCATTTTAACAACAATTGCATCTGTTACAAATCCCCTAAGGAAAAGCACCCAGACATCCATTTAGCTAATTTATACATGACATTTAAAATGTTGGTCAAAGGAACAACTCTGAAACACAGGGAATTTACCTAAAGCTAAGCTAAAGATCTGGACTCTCTAGAAAAAGCATCCACAAAAAGGTCTATCTTGTTTAGCCACATAATGCTGAACTAAGCAGTTCTTTAAAACTAATGAGTATTTGTTTTGTGTGCACCAAGTCCTTCCTCTACTGAAAGAAGTTTTAATGTTGCTCAGTCAACAGGTGTGATGTATGTTATGAAATTTCTACTTGCTCTGATGTTCTGCTATGGTCAGCTCAATAACAAATGACACAGGAATAGTAACACAACAAAAGCCAAACATTAAGGATTACTCAGCAAATCTTTCTCCTAATTTTCACTTGCCTCCATGCGAGCTTTGTAAAAATCCACATCATGAAGTTTCTCTTTGCACCGAACCAGTTCCATCTCAAGTCTCTCCACACGGTTTGCCCTCTCTCTCAGAGAGTCAAGCTCATCTCTGTACGCTCGGGCAGAGCGAGCATCTGAGGCAAGGTGGACATTCTGTGAGAAGTGAGGAACAAACAGGGAGAAAAATCTTGTAAACATGTATTTTAAACTGTAACTTTTTGCATTTACCTACTAAGTGTAGACAAACAGTTCTCCTCGTTAAGGAATAAGAGAATTCTCCTACTACCAGTAAATGCTCTACAAGACAGAGAGGTTCTTCAGCCTATTGGACCTCTGACATTACTAATGCCTGATGCTGCATGAGCTTCAGGCATTACTAGGCTATTTGCAAGGTGAGCAGATGAGACTGCTCTCAACAGTTAAGTGGAAAGCATAGCACTGCTATGCCATAGCCATAATCATCAAACAGCTTGCTGGAGTACCTTGATTTCTTCATTAAAAAAATCAGCATAGTAGTATTTTTAGCCTCACACTGAAATGGGACTTTATTAAACAGCATCCATCTTACCTCCTGTTTTACTTTTTGCAGCTCTAGGGTGAGCTGCTCAACTTCATGTTTAGAATCTGCAAGCTGCTCAGACTTCTCCTCCCTGAAAAGATTAGAAAAATCTTAGTAAGTAGTTGTTTTTCTTTCCTAAAACAATATTCATTATATGGAGCCTGCTAGGAATCTGTAGAGGAAGATAAAAAATCTCCCAGCATATTCTGAACACAAAGCTTCTTTGTCATGACAGCGTCATCATTTCCTTATGATTCCATATGTATATCATGGATCTGAGTTTGCAACTCTAATTTTATAGTAAGTTCCTCTGTTTAAATCTCGTTGGTGCTACTGCTGTCATAGCTAGCTCCACTGGCCTCTGGACTTTCCACTAGAACTGAGAAAGTAGAGCTAGCAGTTGGCATTTTGAAGGGGGGAAGAGATGACACAAAAAGAAGAATGGAGGTAGCCATCACTCTCTGTTTAAAGACCAATTAAGAAAAAAGAAAAGATGGAACACACATACAAGCTTCCTACTGCTATGAATAAAAGATTTAAAGGATGTGATTCTGAGAGCTTCTGTGAAGGCCAGTGTATTGAAGCTGAGAGGCACCTGCATTTTCAGGATGCATAAGACTCTATATAGAAGTCTCCCTAGAAGCACAAATCACTGGTGACTCACAGCTCCTGCCGGATTCTTCTCAATTTAGCCTTCGTGTCTGCCAGCTCAACTGTGAGGTGTTGCTTGTCTTCACTGGAAAGAGGGTTGGCTGGGTTTGGTGAAGAATCTGGACTTGGTGCTTTCAGAGGGCTTGGTGGTTGCTGAGACTGTAGATAATCTCTCTCTTGAGTGAGATCTACAATGACCTGGAAATACAGAAGATTATGTAGTGTCAAGAGATAACAGTGTATTTATACATTGTTTTAAAAATATCTAGAAATTATTTATAAATTTAGAATATTATTAGTCTGGCATTATACAGTATTCAAGTGATAGCCAGGAGTGAAGGTTACACAAAGAAGGAAAGGAATCTCCACTATGCTCAGTCCACTAAAACATTCCCTTTCCAATGCTCAAAATAAGTCTGCTTTTCTTGAAGAATTCATAAAAACCTGTAACAACTAACAGTTTTAACTAACAAAATCACAGTCAAAAGCATGACAGAAAATTAAAAGGCTAAAGGAGGGAAGAAGGCTCCTCCAGAAATCTGAAGGGAAAGGAACTGATGAATCAAAAAGCCTAGAGAAGACAGTGGAGCCCATGATGGTAGATACCAGTGGAGAGACTAGCAAGCACTAGAAGATTAATGACTGAACAGACACGTGGAGACATTTGGTCTCTCCACTTCATGGAGAGACTGCACTGCTCCCCTTCATCAATCATTTCACCACATCTTAGTGTTTACACAAGAATCAATGGAAAAGTCAAAACACTTCTACAGATTTTCAGAGGTGTAGTAGAAAGGTGCAGAAGAAATAGAAACCTGTACAAACAAGACATAAAAGAAGGGAATCTGCTGCATCTCGTGGGCTCTATATGGGAAAGATAAGCCATCGTACTTCTGTGCATTCATCCCTCTCATCAATGAGCCTCTTGAGGTGGAAAACCATATTCCTGGAGAGGGACTCTAGTTCTTCTGGGGCCATATCTGGGAGCTCCAGCCACTGCAAGTCAAAGACGTTCTCCTGGTTGTGAGTCACCTAGGTAGGAGGAACAAAAAAGTGTGTCTTTTCACTGGTTGATTTGTAAATTTGTTTACTCTATATGCTGCATCCCTCAGGTTCTTCTACTGATAAATTAAAAATCATATCACATTTCACCATACCTAGGCTGCAAATACCTTAACTGTAACACGACCCAGTAATTTTTGGTATTTAGATTTTTTTATAATTATTAAGTCTGATTTTTAAAAGCGATCAGACAAATATTATGATCAATAGCATGTGTGCTTGCATATTAGAAGTATGCAACTGTCTTACTGACCCTGAGGTGGTCATCACAGGGAAGGGACTGATCCCACACTGAACAGTTAGGCTGATGTGTCACTGAGTAGAATCCCTGCTTTCAATAAATTTGCAATTTATAGTTGATACAGCTGGGAGGAGCTGCATTTAGCAGAAATGTCTCTGGTTGCTGCTAGCAGTGTACCTTTTATCTGCTACCTTACCTAAACTGATTTCCTCTGAAATCATTTAGCAGAAACATCAGGCAAGTCTATCAAGCTCACTTAAAGACTGTTCCTGCTTTTGTCATAACCATGTGCTTAGTTCATCATGATTTCTTTTAATGAACTATTTTGTTAAGTGCTAAGAATAAAGTTCCTGAATGCATTGACACCTGGCTGCAGTCAGTGTCCATTCCCAGCGAGGGGGTGCTTCCACATGGATGTCCTTTGGTTCTCCAAAGTAAGATGGCTCCTAACACCTACTTGTATTCTTTTCCTTCTACAGAAACCTGTTTGTCATTGGATCAAGCTTCTTTTTAAAAAGAGTGTATGTCCACTTTCAGCTGTAGAGTACACTTGTCAAGACCATCTAAGCTCAGAGGTCACTGTCTGAAGCAAGTCACGGGGGAGCCTGTGTCTCACCTACCCCAAGGCTTGGGGACCAAGTGCTTACACCATCATGCAAGAGGCACTGCGGCTCCTAAGACACACGTGGTTTTTGTAAATATTACACATGTATCCTTACAACAATTCCTTCTACATAGCCTATAAGTGGCAAGCAAGGCATTTCATTTACCACTGCATCTCTTTAAAAGATCACTGAGCCAAGTAATGTTCCCAGCACTTATCATCTTCTTCTTATAATCTGACAGCAGTAACATACTCAATCTTCCTTTTTTGGGAAGTTCATGAATCCATTATGAAATTCCAAGCATTAAAGTTTCATAGCAAAATATCCTGTTAAATCAAAGAAGGGAAAGATACAAAACAGACAATACTAAGAATCCCACCTCTTGTATGTGTGACACAATGGCAGCTTGGGTTTCAATATCCAGTTGTTTTATTCTTTCAATAAACTCTTCTTTTCTTTCACACTGTTAAAAGAAAGCATACCCTGAAATAGCACTATATATCCTAAAACTTACTGCATCATTTTCATTGAAATTAAAAAAAAAAAAACAAACACAAACTCAAACAAAACAAAACCTCAAACAACTTACACTTCTAACAACAGACTGTTCAAGATCTACTCTTTGTCACACTGGAAGGTATAAGACTTCATTGCTCCATATGGAACATGAACCAAATTATGCAATAAATTATTTAAATTTTTTATAGTCAGTACAATTAAGGCTAAGTTAAATGGCTGGTTTTGCTCTTTAAAAACAAGTTCAACATGCAATGAGATCAAGAGGTGGGGCAACAGCCAGAGGAAATCATCATGGTTTCATTAATGGAGCTGCACAAATGTAAACCTACATTTACATTGCATCATTTAACCTGCCTTCTTTGCTGTTTGTATTTTGCTCCGTTTTGGCAATTAAAAGAGATGCATCACCTTAGGTACTATTCACATCAATGCACAATGCTGCTTCTTGGACTAAATCAACATATGCTTTAGATAAAAAACGCGAAACATTCAGGATAAAAATGAGTGATGTGTCAGACAAACAGATTTTAGTAAATCTTTTACTTAAGGCTTTAGAAGAGGCAGACATCTGCTATCTGTATATCTGTGATTGTGCACTAACAACATTATTGCCTCCTCGTAACAACACTGCATTGTGGATAAGTTAAGCAGTACTTAAAGGCTGTTTTTAAACTCATTTAAAGTGTCCTTTTGGAGCCTGGTTCTGAATCTCAACCATTTCTTTCACTGGGAAGAACCAGCAAACAGGACTGAGGATGCACAGCAGCTTGCCAAAACAATTCTTTGTGCTGCAATGCAACACTAACGTAGTTCAGAGCAGCCATACACAGACAGCTTTACCCTGACATAATTGAGCTGACACAGCTGAGCAGAGTAAGTATCCTAAGGCACGACAAAAACACTAGACGGCCCTACAAACAAGGTCAATTATCAGCATAGGCCTGCCCCCAACACGGCCATTGTTTACGGCCTCAGAGGTTTGGTGGGCAGAACACTGATTTCTTTATCCAGTAACTGCTGTGCATTTCTGCAGTTTCCCATATACATTGCCTCTCATTTTAACAAATGCCACGTAGAGATCCCCACACTAATATACAAAGTATCTATTAATTTTGTATTTTCTACACAGAATACTAAATCAAAACATTATGCAAGTAAAATCAGGATTCATTAAACAAATGTTTAGACTTGTTAAGACTATCTATTTGTTTGGCACTAACATGTACTGTTCTCCTTTGTATTTTAAAACAGTAAGAAAATAAACCAACAACAGTCTTGATATCAAGAACACTGTTCAGAACTTATCTCTTCCCACTGTGTTGTCAAAGTGCATTACTTAGTTGCAAAAGTACACATCCTGTGGATGATTAAGCATTGGCAACAAATTGAGGGTACTGCTATCACACAGTGTGCTTCCTCTCCCCTGCACTTCTTTCCTTCAACTATTGTGTTTCTCACAATTTAGCTCATAAGTGGTCTTGAACTCGAGATATGCTCATACAGCACCGATCTTTGGGTAGATTTTCTCAGTCCAGGAACAAATAACAGATTCAAAGAAAGCTTATTTTTCATCAATGTTCACCTGCACGGCACAGCCCAGAACCAACAACAGCAGCTTCTTAATTTCATCCATACTTTTACCTAGAGAAGAAAAAAGGTAATCAGTACACATGTGTGACAGATAAAGTATTTGCAAGTGACTCTCTCCAAAATATGTGCCTGAAAAGAGAAATAAGACCTCTGAACAATACATATATAGCAATTATAAAGTTATCATACTTTATGTATAATAATACAGGTCTTATGGATTAGTTTAAAAATCCCAAATACAGCAGGACTTTTTTTCCTTCATGTGCTATCCTCACCAATTATTTTCTAAGGCTTTTCTGATCATACATCGAAAAAAAAATTCCTTTAAATAGTTCAGTGCATATGACCAATGCTCGTCTCTTGTGTTGTGATTAACAAGGATGCAAAAATCTCACCAAACCACCAACACCTCTTCCCTCTCTCCAAAAAACCCCACCAAAATAAAAGAAAAACACCCTGGGTGGAGCAAAGGAGGGCTACTCTCAAAGAAAGAATTTGCCCTAAATTCTCTTTCTGTAAACAGTTGCCACTCAGACTTCCCAAAGCTGAATACCATTCTGTGCACATAAATTCTCTCTGAGAGATGTTTTAGCATATAAATTCTGCCTCTGTTCTGCATCAAAGCTTGCTCACACTTTGAAGCATAAACCTGATGTGCTAAGAGGGACAGAGAATGACCGATGCAGGAAGGCTACTATGGAGCTGACCATATGCTGGGGAGCCCTGGGGTGAGGAGACACATCCCAGTTGTCACTGCAGGCAATCCTGCTGCAACCAGCAGCCCAAGGTGAGGAAAGAGGCTCACAAGGACAACTGGTGCAGCTTTGTGCCAACTCCAGAGCTCGTTTCAACAAAGTGAACATGGATTGTTGGGTAGTAAAGAAAGTTATGCATATCCAAGTTAGACAAAGGGAGATGGGAGGCAAGGAGCTTCAATGAGGATATAAAACATCTTCATGGAGTTAGGTTCAGGAAAAGCCTGTCTTTATCCACACTGGGGGGAAGATAAGAAAAGAGAAACAAAACAGGCCATATACAGTTTTCTCTCATCCCTATACATCTGCATGCTTCCTGACACAGGGTGTGAAACTGTGGGATTAACGCTTTCATTTTATACATCCTGCTTTACTTGGGTGTTCAGTCACTCCTATCACTAAATAGATACTAATTTCTGAGAGCAACTGTACTCCTCTACCAACACTATGCCCTTGTAAGGCTGCACTGGCAGCAAGTCAGAGGCATGTGCAGGACCCAAGGCCAGGGAAGGGGAGTTAATCTGACTCATCAGTTAAGCTGCCGCAGCCCCACAGCCACACAAAGACACACTGACCTAAATTACCACGGGGTTCCTGCCGTTCGCAGAACCTTGCAGCCAGCACAGCCACGTGCAGGCAGCTAAGGAAGTAACTTGTTTTCCAATTTCCTGATTTCAGGGCACACAAGTGCCCTGAGCCAGTCTTTAAACATACCTTACTTGTTAAACAATTTTTTAACAACTTTTAGGAATGTTCATCTTCAAAATGTTTCAAGAATACCCTACAGAAATTATCAGTAGTCTGCACAAATGAATACCACAATTCTCAGTATCCAAGTTCCACATTAGTAACCATTAAGATTTTGCAAGCAGGAAATCTTCTCTTCAACAGAAACAGGCATATTTAAAACATGTTAGTTCAGACTTCGCCCTGTATATACAATAGAGCTTACTTCCCTGCGGAATATTTAAAAACTGGTTTTGAAAGATGCACAATCATTCTTACTTTTCTCCCTGTATCTAGCAGCATACAAGGTTTGCTCTTTCCTGAAAAGTTACAATTTAATATACAAATTATATTTCAGTCTGTGAAAGTCTGATTGTTCTGTATGAATCTCAGTACCATGATCGGAAGCGTAGACAGCAACACAAAAAAAAGCTCCTTCAGCAACAGTAAAAAAAATCTGTTACTTCATGAACAGTTCCTTTGAGGGCACTACTAGGAACAATTACTTTGGTCAGAAGGTATATTTTCAAGAAACTAAATTCTCACTAGTGTTTCAGCATTGGGTTTCATTCTGCATCAGCTTCAAAGCAGATCCAGACCAGGTATTAAATGCAGAGCCTGCCTGTGGGACACAAGAGCAAGTTATTAAGTTATGGAGAGCTAGTGACTTGAGTATGTCTCCCAGACTTACTCAGGGCAGAACATCTCCATGAGAGACTGAAGGAGTAGCCACCAGGCTGCTGCTCTGGATCATACCAGACAAGTGATAACCCTTGTGTGCTCTGGCCACCTTCATCTGTTGACCATAAATTCCAATTCATGCATCATGGCATCACAACTCTCCTCAGAGTGAGCCTAGTGGCTTGAAATCACTCATTTTAGGAAACACCAGGAATACTTCCCAACAGTGACAGCATCTATACCACCCTAAAGGCATGTGAGCTACTCAAGCCATTCAAACCTACCTCCCTGCACCAAAAGCTTTGCTATTCTCTCCCATTCTCTAGATAACAGATGGGTATAGGTGATGCTGCATGACCCCTGTGAGGTCAAACACCTTCAGCTATTACTGCAAAGTAACTTAACCAAGGTCAACCCTGGTCTCCCAACAGGGACTGACCTTGCCTGGAAATAGCACTTTGAGACCTTACCCCCCACTCCAGTCCTCCCATGAGGAAGAGAAGCTGAGACAGACATGACAACCTATGGCAGGGAATGACAAGCTATAGTTTACAGAAAGAACTGAGAAATTAAGACTCAAGGTAATCATGAGATTATTAGTTTGTTACTGTTTTAAACATAACATTTGGCAGTCTGCTCTCCCCACTGGCAGCTTGCACTGAAAATTTAGCTGTCAGTATTTTTCCAAGGTTTCTTTTTTAATAAATTATTTTATGCTTGCAGACATGTAATGAAAATGAGATTGTACTACCCACTAGAAACACTTCTAAAGTTGAAAGGTCCACTTAGCAGATCTACCAGCTACACAAGTGTTTCAGAAGACCATGTATGAGTTTTAAAGAGTTCAATTTCTTAGGTTTTCATTCAGAAGTTGTTTCCCATGAGGAGGAGACAGCTTGTTGACATTAAGGCACTTCCGATCACTCATACTCAAGCTAGGTTTGAGTAACATTTTAAAGCCTTGTAGATTAACAACATTGACAGGAGATTTTTAGAAGAAATAGGGTATGAGTATGAAAAAACCTCTCTACCAATCTAAAGTGCTTTGGAGAGAGTTTTCAATTAAACCTCAGAACAACCCAGGAATGGATTAATTATCCCTCTTCCCTTTCATCTCACCCACAGGAGAGCTGAGATACCACACACTTAAGTGGAGTGCCCAAGGTGACTAAGTAAGTCAGAAGCACTTGTAGGATTATTACACAGTGCAGCAGCTGAATTCTACACTCAGAACAATGCATCTATCCTGCATCTATCCTGCAACGCATGCAGGATCTTTATCCCCGATTCTGTTGTGCCTCCTAAACAGTGAATGATTGTGAGGTGTTTTTCAAAAAGGTTGACTTGTGCTAATTTAATAAGATGGTAAAGTTCCTTGTGCACCTGCATAAACAGGAATGTGCCCACTCCTCTATGATGGTTCATTGGGATGACACAAGTCCTTCCCAGACACCTGGAAAGTAAGTCTGCTGGGTCTACTCAGGCTTATTAGTTGATCTTACCAAGACAGTGTCCTCTTATGACCTAGGATGCAAACATTTCGATCTGAGGCAGTTCCTGGCAGAGGTACCCACAAGCTGAATGAACAGGATTCAAACTAGCACTTAAAGAGAAAGGTGCTAACTGAAAAACAAACTCTTTTCTTTTACATTTTTTTTTTTAAATTCCAGGGCAGTTGCTCTCGAGTCGTGTTTGTGCCTCCAAGGGAGCCAGCCACCTGGGGGATTTGCAGAAAGCCCATCTGCTCCCGACCACGAGAGAGGACCAGCAGGTTTTCTGGAAAATAAAGGGAGGGAAAGCCCGGGTACCACCTGTGCATCCTGGGAACCTCCCTGTGCCAGAGCCAGGAGACCCCTCTGCTCTCACAGGGGGTGGAGAGTGGGAAACAGATGGCAGGACTCAGGGCGAAGGCAGGCAGACAGATTAGGAGACACAACAACAACAACAAAAACGAAGATCAAGGTACAGAGAGAACATAGACAATGCAAAAAATGAGAAGGGGTTGGAAAAATGTCAGAGGAAGTGGGAACGAGAGGGTCCAAGCATGTGCAATCTTAAGCTTTTGCTGTCTCTTTCTCCGTATTTCTCTCTGATGTTACTCCAGCGCAGGAGAGGGAGTGCCAGCACATGTAGTGCTACACGGAGCAAGTGGTGGGTGTGTGGGGAAGGTGAGAAGGGGTGAAACACACGGGTGCCATTTTTCCCAACTGTAGCAACATCCTGAGTGAGAAAAGCTTGAATGTTAAATTTACACTATTGAGGCAGTGTTCTGTTATTAACTTTATATTTTACAGACCTTTCTGCCTCTGGAGGACTGTAAAACAAAGTAAGGAAGGAAACCAGACATGAAAAATATCCCAGTGAGAGCAGACATCTTTTACAATTTTAATGGAAAACAGCTTCTACAGACACTTGTTAGTAGGGACTTGGGCTCTCTCATTCTCAAACTGAACATGTAATTTGAAAAGTGTATCTAACCAGCAAAGCTTTTTGAAGAGGTAGAAATGAGCCTACTTCAGGCAAGTAAAACCTCATTTTAACAAAAAAACGTTAAAATCCCCCCCACAATAATTGTGACTGTTTCAAAAGATTAATTGCCAACAATTTCCAAGCACGCTCACTAGCAGTGTTAAACTAAGGATGTCTAGAAACTAGGAAATTAAATAATGCATCTAAATAGAGGTTTGTGACCAGTACTGTAAACTGATATTCTCTGTGCAGCCACATGAATGGGTGGCCATTTATAAGGCACACTAAAACCAGAGATAATATGAAAAGGTGATTACAGCAATGTCATAGATGATGAATAGGTTGAATGATTCTCTTATTGAGCACAGGGGAATTTGTGGTGCAGTAATGAATTGAAATAGCTGTTCAAAAAAAAAAAAAAAAAAAAAAGACAAAAACAAAGAGGAAACTTAACGGTAGTAGCTGTCTACCATACAGTGCAGCAAAGAGAACAAATCCTGTAACACCAGCTGCATTGTTCTGCAAGTCAAATTCCTGGGAAAATTTTCTAAATCCTTTAATTAAACTTTGAAGTTTATTTTCAGCTCCCTATATTCTAGGAAACAGTAAAGCCGCCATCTTCTTACAAATGTTTTTGCTATTTTGGCCGAATGAACTGAAGTAGGCAAAACTGCCCATGGCCTGGAACAAAACTATTGAGAGTACATGAAACCAAGTAAAGCTTCTAAACCCAGCAGACATGTGCCTTTTCCTATGCAAAAGCCCAACTGCTTTTTTAGTGGTGACAGCTCTGTTTTTCCAATAATCTCATGTTCAAAGCAGAGCTGCAGAAGCCCTCCATAGTCCCAACTGATGAGTGCCAAATGGAAGCTAAGTGGCAAGAACAGCATTCACAGCCTAAGAGCTGTTCAGTTTATAATTTAATGCGTGCACAGCACTTTTGGCTGTGTTTTAGAAGGAAAACGTAAAATTTGCAGATAGCACTGGTGAACAGACAGCTCTGAAAAACTTGCATAGCAAAATATCATGTAGCTTGTTACAAGGAATAAACCACTGAAATTGTACACAGTGAATCAGATTGAATGATCTAACAGCTCTCTGGTCTTGGACCCATGGAGTTAATACAGTCATTAGGAGCCTTCCCAGCTCAAGCAGTAGAAAGCAACACCGGATTTGTTCCAGGAATGTGATAATGGGATTGATTTTTCTTCCTCTGATCAAGAAGGACCGTTTATTCAGGTAACTTACCTACAGGGGGGAGATTTCATCAAATCAAACTGGGATTTCATCACTGCCTCTCCAGCCCAGCCCTGCAGACCACCTGCACCTCAGTCTCCAGCTGCTACTGCTCCCCCACTGCCCAGCATTGTCTTTGCAGCTGTCCTCTCCGGGACCCTCTTTCCTTCTCAGTCTCTGTCCTTCTGACAGAGAAGGTGGTTTCCTCTCTACCATTCTTGTTGCTTTTAAGCCCTCCCACAAGTAATTGTCTCAATCATCTCTTCTCCCCATACTGCTGTCATTCCCAGCCTCCTCACTTCTCTGTCAGCTTTCCCTGGGGCTTCCCTGTATTCATTCCAGAAGCACTGTTTCCTATGCTGATAACTACTTCGTCCTCACATCTCCACATAATCTGCAGCCCTTCTTTAGCTCTCTCACTGATAGAGAGAAAATATTTTTATTTTACTTGGTTTTCCCCTCCCAAGTGCTCCTGCCTTTCTCTGACTCCCCTCTGCAAGACAGTAGCAAAGACATCATCACCTGGTCATCATTCACTCGCATTGCTCATCACAGCTTATTCCTTCATTCAGCTTTTTCTATTGGTTTTACTAACTTCTCCTCAGCCTTCTCCTCCCTATTTCCTCTTTCCGAGCTTCCTATCAGCCCTTAGACAGATTTTTCTTCCTGAAGGAAGTTCTAGTTCTCCACTTCTGTAACCATTTCTTCAGCACATCTTACCAGTGATCATCTACCTAAGGGTATGATTAAGGTGAGCTCCTCTTGAAATCCTGTCCCTCAGACACTCTCGTCCATGAATAGATTCTTTAAAGCAAATACATCTCATGTCTCTCTCTGCTCACCACCTTCCTCTGTAGCATCTAAGCTGGGAACTGGTTCTCAAAAATCATTACATAATATGGCAAAATTAGTATTTTTTTATACACATATACCCCATCAATTTTAGACATCCAGAAGTTACATTTTTGCATTCTTTATCCTTTTTTCCCAAGTTCTGGATAATGCCAATCCTAAACTCAGCAATAAAGAAAATAAATTTTAAAAGATATTAAGGAAAAAAAAAGAAGAGAATAAACAAAAAAGCCCAAGCCACCACATTTTAAAAGATGTCAGAAAGAGAAGCAAATTTTCTGGTTATAATTAAAGGAGCTAGAACACCAGAACATATGCATGATCAGCACCTTTCCTACGAAAGACACAGGTGCTTTCTTCAAAGAAAGAGATCTAAAGTGCTGACAAAAACCAGCAGGACAACAATTGGAAATTATAGCTAAATACAGGACAGCTTTCAAGTGTGCAGCTTTCCCAGGAACCAAAACTGTAGTTACCACATTGTAAGTGTCCTGCCAGCTGTCGCTCAGGAATGGCTGTGACAACCAGCCAGGCTTTTCCATTGACACTTAGCCAGCAGAGATACTGCCGTGTTGGCCCAGACATTTCTATTCAGTAGCATTCTTGATGCTTGCAGCCCACTGCCCATATGACCAAGAAAAGCAACAGCTCTTGTATTTCGACATTCTTTGCCCATAACTGCAGCCTGTACAGCAGAATTAAGACTTGTGGACTTAAATCTGCTTGCTGAAGAAGCAGATTCCTCACTATCAGCTCAATTTTAACGTAGAAGTGCCAAGACTATGAGTTTCAGTGATCCAGCATCTGCTAGCATTCTTTTCTGACAAATCCTTTTTTGTACATACGCACTCTACTGCTGCTAAAAGCAGCAAAAGAAAATCTTCTGCCAAGGTTTTTGCCATTTGTTTGTTCTGGATATGCTGATTACCATGTCGTTCCCCATCACTGCTGACAGTGTTCATTCAAGTTTACCTTCTTTGGTAAAACCAAATACATTGTTCTTTGCACTAGCATAGGGCTAAGGCAGAGATACCATGGACATGCAAAAAAACCAAACCAACGACAAAAAGTTTAATTTCAAAAACGTAGTTCAAAGAAGTCAACTTCATTTTCAGGCTAAACAGCTTTCATTTTGTCTCACCAAACGCACTGGACCCCAGACAAGAGCTCGTGGGCTTCCACCTTACTTTTGATGTGATACCTCATGACACGGGTATTGTCTAGATAACGTGCCCAGTCAAATGTTTTTCTCTTTGTCCATTCTCTTTCAAACTTTTTCCTATATTTTCATATATGTATTTTTCTCTCCATCCTCCCACATTTCATTTGCAACAGTTACTTCACACCTTATGGCAATTCTGCAAGACTCTGGGTGTGCACATATTGCCAGAACTAAACTCATTATACAGGCACATAGGACAGAAAACCTCAAAGACAGCACATGATTGTCCTGTGGCACGCAGAATATGCTGAGCTGGAAGGGACCCACAAGGATCACCAAGTCCAACTCCTGGCCCTGCACAGGACCATCCCCAAAAGCCACACTATGTGCCTGAGAGTATCATCCAAATGCTTCTTGAACTCTGTCAGGCCTGGTGCTGTCACCACTTCCCTGGGGAGCCTGTTCCCAACCACTGTCTGGGTGAAGAACCTTTTCCTAATATCCAACCTAAACCTCCCCTGAAAGAACTTCGGGCCATTCCCTCAGGTCCTGTCACTGGTCACCACAGAGAAGAGATCAGTGCCTGCCCCTCCTCTTCCCCTCACGAGAAAGTTGTAACTGCAGTGAGGTCTTCCCTCAGTCTCCTCCAGGCTGAACAGACCAAGTGCCCTCAGCTGCTCCTCATGCAAATTGCAGCAGGGGCTGAAGAGATAACTTCCAACCAACTAGTTGCTATTCTGGCTTTGGCAAGAACTCTCTCATTTATCACACATGTATGTGTATGACATGCAAATATACATGAATCATATATATTTATATGTACAGGTATATAAATATATCAGTGTTACATTCTAGAGACAAAGTTGTGAGATTCAGAGGTGCTCAAATACTTCTAGTTTGCCTACAAATACATACAGTTTATTGAAAAGCATCTTTGTAGTATGGCCCATTTAGGAGACTTGGTTGCCAGAGTTCCTTAAGAGCAAGTCTCAGCCCAAACAGTGGTGGCAAATGGAGTTAAATTCAGCTAGTGGCCGGTCAGAAGTAGTGCTCCTCAGGGCTTAGTATGGAGGCCAGCCCTGTTTAATATCGTTATCAATGATCTGGACACGGGGACCAAAGGCACCCTCAGTAAATTTGAGGATGACACCAAGTTGGGCAGGAGTGTTGATCTGCTGGAGAGTCAGAATGCTCTGCCTGGGGATCTGCACCGGCAGGATCAATGGGTTGCAGCCAGCTGTATGAGGTTCAAAGCAGTAAAGGTCCTGCCCTCGGGTCACAATAACCCTCTGTAACGCTACAGGCTGGGGGCAGAGCAGCTGGAAAACAGACCAGAGGAAAAGGACCTGGGAGTGCTGTTTAACAGCCGGCAGCAGTGCGCCCGGGAGGCCAAGAAGGCCAGTGGCATCCTGGCCTGTACCAGAAACAGCATGGCCAGCAGGACCAGGGCAGTGATTGTCCCCCTGTGCTTGACCTGGTGAGGCCACACCTCGAACCTGGTGTCCAGTTCTGGGCCCCTCAATTCAAGAAAGACATTGAGGTGCTGGAGTATGTGTAGAGAAGGGCAGTAGAGCTGGTGAAGGATCTGGAGAGTAAGTCTTATGAGAAGCAGCTGAGGAGCTGCGGTCATTTAGCCTAGACAAAAGGAAGCTCTAGGAACTTTACTGTTCTCTGCAACTACCTGAAAGGAGGTTGTAGTGAGGTGGGGGTTGGTCTTTTCTCCCAAATAACAAGCAATAGGTCATCAGGAAATAGCCTCAAGTTGCACCAGGGCAGGTTTAGGAATATTTTTTTGGATATTAGAAAAAGTTTCTTCACTAAAAGGTTGCAACAGGCTGCCCAGGGAAGGGGTTGAGTCACCATCCCTAGAAGTATTTAAAAGACAGAGATGTGGTGCTTAGGGACGTGGTTTAATGGTGGACATGGCAGTGTTGGTTTAAGGGCTGGACTCTTAAAGGTGTTTTCCAATCTAAACTAGAATAGAATTACAGAACTCTTTAGAAAACAAAACAGATTTTATTTAGCATTACAGAGGAGAGGGATGAAGAACCTCAAACTACTCACCAGAAAGAGGATCTTTGCCAATCATTAAAACATTTGGTAAATTCATCACAATCAGCTGCTGCAGGACCTCCTAAACAAAAGAGAACAACAGGCAAAGTTCAGCGTGAAGGAATCCAAATCAATCACACCACAAAGAACACAAAGCTCCATCAATTACAAAGCTTTTAACATACTGGCAGGTCAGAGGTCATGAGAGGAAGCCCCACTTGAGAGAGAAATCCTTATTTGAAGATAGCATCAGGCTGCACAGCTAACATACACTAATCACCTCTTTTAACTACAGCTAATATAGAACTTAAAGGGTCCCATGGCACTAATCAGAATAAATGCATGACCGTGCCAAGTACAGCAATCATTCATGCCTTTACCCCAGGTATGACCTGCATCCATCTGATGTGTAACATACAGCTGATGTCATGTTTCAGGGCGTATAAATGCAGCTTCTTCATCAAAGGTACCTAAGCCATTCTGTGAAGTTTGAGTAACTCAAATAACTGGTCAAATTATTTCATAGGTCCGAGAATTTAATGATGGGCTGGGGAAGTGGGTGTGAAGGAAAAACTCCTGACAGGCATCTGGCACTGGATATAAAGTTCTAGATTTGTTTGCATTGTTTTTGATGGGGAGTAAAACAGATTTAAGTAGGTCATGAACCTCATTTAAAGGTCATTTTATTTTGGAGGAGGTGACAGAAGGGAGGTGCATCAGGTTCAACATTTAAATGGCAGCTGCCTGAAGAAGCTCTGAAGTGACAGAATGGTTTAAGGGAGAAGAAAGGCTACAAGCCCTAGTGCAGGCAAAATGCTTAAAGTTGGAGAAATAAATACCTTGGGGACTCTGCACAGTAATACGATCAGCCATGTACCCCAGAAACACACAGAGAACAGGAGTACAGTTGTTAGCTTTGACCTGCAGTTACCAGCACTCATCTGTGATGATCTGAATAAAACATTTTGCAGGCAAGTATTTATTTCACATAAGAAGCCTGGGAATAAAATGGCTGTGTGAATGAAACGCTGTGCTGGGATTCAGGAAACAAAGGTTCACAGATACAACTCTACCAAATGTTTGGCAGGTGCCTTTTCCCAGCTTGTCTCCACTTCCCAACCTACCCCTAAGGCCACTGGAAGGGCACATGCATTGATACTTGCAGAGCATTCACAGCCAGGGGAAAAAGCACCACAGCCCAGCAGAGAAACACACTTCCTGAAACAATCACCCATTCACCCAAACACTTCCTCTCCAAGCTACCCATTGTTATTTCTCTGCTTTCAAAGTTATACCACAGGAAGAAAATTAGGCCTGATTGAAAGAGGAAACAATCCAGAAAGCCTGCAGCACTTGATAAGCACTCAGAGTGGATATTCTAAAAAAAAAATGTTTTGGACCTAACACATTTCATTTTTTTCCTCTGATCCATATCAAAACATACTCCTCCACAGTTCATCTTTTGGGTAAAGCAGAAATACCTGTGTCACAGGGCTTTCTGTGCTGTTAAGAAAAAAAGGCTCTACAAACCTTTATGTAATGTGAAGTTTGGCTAAGGCAGACCAAACATTTACTGACTCATTAGCCAAATGGATTTTATATTTTGGGCATTTGAGATGCCTTAAATAAAGTTTGTTTGCATCTGTTACTACAACAGGTGCAAAAACTATTGGATGTAATGGCACATGGCTTGACTGTAATATGTGCTATGACAATACAGCATGGCACTGAGGCTCTAAACAAAGAAAATCAGACTTTGCATATACTGAAGTATTGAGCTTTAACCAGCAATTTCCATGGCAAAAAAAAAAAAAAAAGAAAGAATTGTGCTTCCAGTCACCCAGCATGTGGAGCAGCACTGAGGCAGGAATGCATAAGGAATTTGCGTTGTCTTTGTGTAATCATCAGATCACTAGCTATTTAACTGGCAGACACAAAAGACATTACAGCTAACCTTTATGATGTTAACATTCCCATGAGCTCCTTCTGCAAAATTATTTGAGTATACAATCCAACATAACCATGACTGAATGCCTGCAAAACTGCTTGAGCTCAGTATTTTCTGGCAAGAATCTGACAGTCACTGAATAAAAGCTGAACCGGCCCCAAGCCTGGAAGAATGATTTGTTAATTCAGATTGAAAGATTAAACTGTTTCAAGAGGTGATACTCTGACCTTTTTATATTTAAAATAAAATATTTAAACAGATAACTATATTGTTCTAAAAGCCTTCACCTTCAGATTAGTCCTTGTGATGATAATATCTGGCTGTTATGCAGTGCAGCTCACTGGCAGATCTCAGCACTTTCTAGAGGAAGGTCAATGTCACTGCCCTCCTTTTTCAAGTTAAGGAAAGAGAGTCAAAGAAACAGAGTTACTTCAGTTTAATAAACTATCCTCTGTGAACCAATGTACCACTCACACAGCTGCAAGTGTGAGATAAAAATGTGTTAAGGGAAAGCTCATACATGGATGAATTCAGCTCAGATTTTGTCTGGGCTGAAACCACAGAAAGTTAGTGAGGTTCAGTAGACACCCAGTGACTGACTCAGGAGCTGTGATAATGAGTCCATATCTCAAATCCATTGCTTAAAATCCCACATCTAGAAATACAACTAATGTCCCCCCTTCTACCAGGAGCAAATCAGGAATTCTTCAACTTTTATCACTTATCAACATTTTCTTGTTTTCCTTCTCTGAAGCAGCAATAACACAGGTTGACAAGTAAAACACTGTGCCTCAGCCTGGCTTCTTGGCTCCCCTCACATCTTACCACTCCTCCCTGAAGACCCTATAAAGTCAAACTTAGGCTTCAGGCAGGGAACTGTGCTTTTCCAGCCTGTGAACTGGCACTGAGGACCAAACAGCTCCACAGACCTGACCATCTCCCAGGGTGCAGCTACATTGGACATGGGGTTAAACTGGACACACCACTGAAGCCCAGACAGCAAAAGAAATGGTAGATAAAATGCAACATTTCCCCACAGGGACAGCAAGTTACGCTATTGCATTATATAAAAGGCTGCTGTTATGTTCAAATTCAAACATAGTGGTGAGACAGGGCAGCAGAGGCAGAGATGGTGTGCACGTGTCCTTCTGCCTCAGGCAACCAGCATGGCTGGGGGCAACACATCCAGGCAGGAGCTGCTGGAGAGCAAACCAGGGGTTTCAAACATTCTAAATAGCTCACAACAACCCGGAGTACCCTGGAGAGCAACTGTACAAGCAACAAATCTAATTTCTCCTGTGAGAAACCTTTTAATCATTTTTACAGCATAACTAAAGCTCGGTTCAAACAGTAAAGGTTACAGCAACAACATATGGTTACAATTTCTCAGATTATTAGAACCACTAGGGTCTGAGTTGCCAGCTTTACAGCTAGACCATTAACCAATTCAGAAGCCAGCTACTGCAAGTCAGCAAGTACCTCCCTCAGACTACAGTTTGCCTTTTCTATTTTTTTTTTGTTTTTTCATGAGATTTCCATGAAAAAAATAATATTGGTATCAGAAGCATTATTTAAGGAATCAAAACAAATCCCCATCAGGCCTTAGTGCAGTGTCCATAGGTTTGTGAAATGCTCCTCTGCCAAAGATCAGGATATTTTAAGCTTGAAGAGATTTGTGAAAAATCTTTTGACAGCAGTGATTGTTTCAAGAACAGACGCTTCTACACACCACTATCATGAAATATAAAGATCAGCAGCCAAGTTTTACACTATTTGCACCAGACCCCAGACTCAGTAAATGAAGCCCACAAAAGTTTCAGCAAGCAGTTACGTGACCCCATATTGACAGGGAGGGCTTTTCAAGTGAAGGTCACACTGGGTGTTCAGCCTGGATCACTCCCTCTGCTGCACTTGCCCCCCAGAGACATGGAGCCTGAAGTAGGCTGGGACAATGGGCAGACCCAAACAACAAGGATACCACCTAAGCCAAAGGTAAGTTTTGCTGAAAGCTACTAGGCACTCCAGGACTGGTACACCAAGGATTCAGAAACATCATTAAGTTACCCAGAAATCGCTAGGAGAAATATAAATAAATAAATGCTGTGTTCTCATTAGCAGCCTTCTGGTGTCTAAGCTCTTGCTGAGCAGTTGCTTCACATTTGCAAGCTCTTTGCAATCACTTTTTCAAGAAAGAAGCTTAAGACAAAAATTCCCCCACAAAGATTCTAGTAGTCAAGGGCTTTAGGAAAAATCAAGACATACAAGATTCAGGACAAAATTCTAAGCACAGAGTTAAGCACTTAGGCTTATTAAAAGCATGAACAAACATATTCATTCCCTCCATCTGAAAGTTTCTAATCATTCTGGAGTGCTGAGGCACATTTTATCTCCTCTTTTTATCCCTCCAAGATCACACACACCGGACGTTTGCTCTTTGCCTCAGATCGTCAGAAGAGATCCAGTGGAAGCTCTCCCTCTCAAGTCACCATGGTCACATATTAACGTTTTATTTACCTGTGACAGGGTAAGTGGGCCCCTTGTAATTTTGTAGGAACAAAGTCCCCCTGTCCATACTATACTTCAATGCACATTTGCTTCTTAAAAATATGTGTGCAATAGCATGGAATAAAATGGTCTTCAGGTATTATTCTTGGATGCATTTTTTTAGTGTCAAATTTAAGTGTGTCAACAGCTCTTGCAAAGTACATGTTGCTAGGAAAGGAGTAGGTAAAATTGTCCCTTCCATGGCTGAGAGACCAGGCAAATACAAGCTTTACACAAAAACCTTTCCCTGCACTGCCATACAGCACAGCATTAAAGTTGAGTAAGTACTAGCTTCTCATGCAGAATTAAATTAACCTCTGCCTGAATCCTAAACAAGAGTACTAAATAAATTATGTAAGGGGAGAGGTAGTCTACCAGTCATTGTAATTCAATGCTCAAGCCAAGCAATTCCATTTAAGTATATTGCTTAGCTATAAAATGCTAATTGCCCAGCTGACTGGAAGCCAAATGGTGCTTTCCTACTTAAAATGCCCATGAGGAAAAACCATCATCAGCTTTATTTATATCAGCAAAAGCAAACAGTACCCAGCCAGGTTTAGCTGCATCTCAGGCTAACGGAGCAGGAAAAG